AAGGTCTTTAGTAAGGCGAGTATTAATAAAAGTGAAACTACTTACTTTAAAGTTAGAAAGTATAAGTAATATAATTCTAATACTATTATAAAATAGTATATAAGAGATAATAAAACTTTTACTACTTATTAACTAATATATATTAATCTCCTTAAGATTAAGTATTTACTTTAAGAAAGAGTTTTCTCTTAAGGTTCTAAGTTTTCCGAGTTTAAGGAAATTTCCTCTAAGTTATTAACTTCCTTATTAGAAAAAAGACTAGTACTAAAGTACTTCTCTAGTACCTTAACTTCTATAACTATTATTATATAAAGCTCCGGGTAATTCTTAGTAATATAACCTATTTTCTTATAGTTATAGTACATGACTACTTTAAGAGAAAGGAGGATCGCTTTTAAAGTAGCTACTACTAGAGTCGAAGTAGTAAGAATAAGAATACTATTAGAGAGCGGAAAAGTAACTAGGCCTCTTTTTAGGAAAGTAAAAGTTAAGAGGCGAACTACTAGCGTAAGAGCTTAAGTAGTTACTATAATCTACTAATATTATTCCTAAGTTTAGTATACCTCCTTATCTAAGAAATCTACTATAAAGATAAAGTCTTAGAAACTTCTATTAAGAGTAAACTTATAGATTACTTAATCCTTAAGAGCTAGGTATAAGGAGTTATAAAGGCGAGTAGTAAAGCTCTTAATAAATAGGATATAAGTATCTTAAATAAGCTTTAAGAACTTTAAGTAGTACTTAGTAAATAACTTACTAGCTGCTATTTAAAGCTTATTGTAACGGTCCGGTATTTACTCGCTGTAAATACAGAAGGCTACAGTTAATCTCTGATAATCGAGAAGTAGGTATATCACGTAGATAGAAGATAGTTACTAAGTATTAGAATATTATTTGAAGTTAAGTATAAAGCTCTTATCTAATAGTAGACGTGCTAGTCTTATATAGAACCTTCGTTCGCTTTAGATCCCTTAGGATACTAGATCCTTAGATCCTCGGATCTGTTTTCTTATAAGGGGATCTAAGGATCTAGGGATCTATCACGTGACCTATCGTCTACTATAATCTAGGTAACTATTACTACTAAAGCGTGAGTATATAGTAGTACTACTCGCTATCCTGTATTATTCCCTAGCTAGTACTACCCTATTAATAGTACCGCTCCCTTATTAGTACTAATGCCCCTATAGTGCTACTAATAGTTTTATTATTATATGGGTGCCTACTGAACCGTAGCGCTAAGGGGTCCGTAACACTTATTTAAAGCTATCTTAGTATCTTATTACTTAAAGGTATTACTATAGATACTACTAAAGTAGCTAAGTATTTCCTTAGTATTTATAAAAAGGTCTATAGTACCGACTTTAAAGCGAGGGAGTAAGTAACTTTAGATATTACTCTTAGTATAGTTATATACTATAGCTCGTTAGGCCTTCTTACTTAGGTAGTAGTTAGTATTAATATCTAGCTTACTTATTATAAAGGTAAACTAAGTATATTATTCTAAGCTATTAGAAGTACTAGAGAACTTTTTAATATGTAGTTTAAGTAAAAGTCTCTTATAGTATCTTTAGTAAGTAGAGGTAAGCTTTACTAATACCTAAGAAGCGTTATCTTAGTTATCTCTAGATAATCTACTATTATTAGAGTTATTACTATCCCTTAAGTTAAGAGCTTACTATTAGGAGCTTAATAACTTAGACTTCTTAGACTTAGAAGTTAAGTTCTTAAGTATCTCTAGTATCTTATAAAAGCTTTTATCTTACTTTTCTTAGTACTTAGCTAATCTCTAAAGTTCTTTAGAGCTCTTCGTAACTTTAACTATTAATATAAGAGTAGTATATTCCTCTTAAGAGTAGTCTTATTAGTCCTAGGGATTATTCTCCTTAAGAGATATAATATTACTATAAAAAGTTAAGAGGATAATATTATTCTTCTTTCTACTATTACATTTATAAGAGGTAATATATAAGAGAGAAGAGGTTAAAGGCGGATTTCTTTCCTTTAGTATTAGTAAAGTAGTAGGTTTAATAGTAAGAAGAACGCTATATTATATTCTATTACTTTTCTAAAAAAGATTAAGACTACTTATAAGGAAGTATAAGTATAAAAGTAAAAGGTAAGAAGTAGTACTTAAGTTATAAATATAACTTAGTTACACTTAGAAGATACTTAAGGAAATAATAAGGTATAAGAGGTAAAGTAGAAAAGAGAGAGCTAAAGATATAACTTAATTATACTTAAAAAGTACTTAAGGAATTTAGTAAAAGTAGATATTAGGACTTTTATAAGTAAGGTTAGTCTTTTCTAATATAATAATATAATAAAAGTTTATTAGTAGCTATAATATAAAGTAGAAAAGATAGTAAGAGAAAGAGGTTCCTAAGGAGCCTTAAGAATAAGTAAGGAGAATATAACTACTAGTGAACTAGGCTAGTCCTAGGTTCGCCGTATAACTCTAGCCTCGCAGCCTTATAACATTAGCCTTACCCACGTGACTCACCTATCGTGATCAGTCTATTACAACTATTAGTCTAAAGAATAATATAAGAAAGGACTTTAGAATTAAAAGGAAAAATATCTTATTATAATTATATTCTTTATATTTCCCGCGTAGTTTTTCTTTAGATTTAATATATTATATTTTACTAAATATAATACTAAAGCTATTTGAACTCTAGGGAAGTAAAAGATTTAAAAAAGATTAGAAGATTACTAAAGCTACTACTAGAGGTAAGAGAAGAATACTTTCTAATCTCTCTTTACTTTAAAGTTATATTATTAGAGATAAGAAGTTCTAGGAATATCTTAAGGATTATTAAGAGAAATCTATACTATATATTCTAAGGTTAATAAGTTAAGTATCTTATTAGCTTAATAGATATTCTAGTAGATATAAGACTAAGGAGTAAGAGACTTTCTTAGTTCGAGATAAAATAGCACTTCTTTATTATTTACTAGGGTTCGAGCTATACCTTAAGAACTTTATACTCTTATAAAATATATACCTTATAGCGTGAAGTTAGGAGATCTCTGAAGTAGACTTAGTTAAGTTAAAATAGGATTACTAAAAGTAAGTTAAATAATATAAAGAGTTATACTTTTAGAATAATAAGGCACGCTTAAAAGTATACTTAATTAATAACTATTTGTAATAGCACGGTTTAGCGTTAGCTAGCACGTGAGCGAAATAACCACGGATCAGGTGATAACCTCTCTATTAGCGCGAATATCAAGCTGAGAAGCCCTCGATTCCGTGGAGGGCGCTCGAGCCTATATAGACAAATTCCCCGGGCTATTCCCGATTAGGACTAATTAAATTTGACGTAAAACTTGACGTAAACTCCTATAGTAGCGTAGAGCTATTTCCCTTTGCGTATAACTAAGTGGGTAACTGTCGGTAAACCCCTTCAGAGTTAACCGAGCTCCACCGAGTCTTACCGAGCTTTGCCGAGCTCTAGACTCTTCCTAATCGGGTATAGTAAAGAAGTGGTTACCACTACCTTTACACTATTCTATTCTCTACCTTAGTATATATTTTAAATTATTCTACCTCTTATTATTTTATAATACTAATATTCTCTTAGCTAATTATATATAAGATCTTAGACTAGCTTAGGGATAGTAAGCTATACTAATAAAATACTATATTAGCTAAGTTAAGGGAATACTTAATAACCTATTTAATATTAATATAAACCTAGTAAATCAAGCTCTTAAGACTAACCTTTTAAATCATATACTATAATAGGAGGTCCCTACTAATAGAGAACTAAGATACCTTAGAGTAAGCTAGAAAATCGCTATCTAATATATCTTATTCTTAGACTATTTTATAAAGGTAATATTTATTTATCTACTACTAATTTAGAAAGCTATACTAAAGAACTGATTTCGAAACTAGATATATAAAAGCTACTTTATAGTATATAGTAAAAGCGAAGTTCAGCTTTATATTATTCTTAAGGTTAAATAGAAGGTCTTAATTAGATATAAGTATAGCTAAAGAGACTAATTAAATATTAGGAATTATAATAATAGCTATCTCTCTTTTTAGTATATAGGAAATAGTAAGCTATAATATAGGAGAGCTATAGTATTCTATTAAGTATATAACTAGACTAATATTATAATTATTATCTGAGAATTTAAAAGTACTAAGTTAGCGACTAATAGTAAGTTACTTTTCCTAAAAGATAATACTTTAGAGCTTATTAAGTCTATTCTCTATTTAGAAATTATTAGGCTACTTAGTTTTATTAAGAAAGTTAAACTAAATAAGACTATATTATATTTATTACTATATAAAGAGGAAATTAACTAGGACTAAATACTAAGTAGCTTTATATATAGAAATCTATAGCTATACTACTTAAAATAAAATTCAGATATTATCTGTAAAATACTCGATTATCTGTATTTTTTTAATAAAATTATAGTAGATATTATCTGAATTTTATCTGTATTTTACTATATTTTACTACTACTAGGAATACAGACAAAATATAGACAATTTACAGACGTTATCTGCATGAAAAACCCCGTAGGGCTGGAGCAAGTCCAGACGAGCTATTTTGCGGGGTAAATAAGCCGTTATAGCTTTTTATCAAGGCCCGAACCCATGTTTGAGTAACCTATCTGCCTGTCATTATGTGCAACTATTAGGTGCATCTGTTATTCGAAGCTTCGGATGGAGCTTGTGTCAATGCTTTTGGTTTTGAAGTCTCGGAGACCTCGAGATCACCATAAGAATTCTTTCGACATAGGCGGACTCTGAACTCGATGTTCATCTGCTTGCACTCACCAGCCACAAGCTGCACCCCGCAGGATGGAGCTGCTCCACCCTCCGCGAATGGCACAACTCAAAGATTGCGTCTTGTGATGTCCTTATTGCGAGCCATGTGCAGAAACTCAGCCGGCATCAAGGCCAATTACAACAATCAATTGTCTTGTCTCCCTTCACAGCATTGCACCCCTGTATCCTCGAAGATCTCCTAGCTATGTCATCCTCTCGCGGTGCATCGTCATCAGTGCCTGTACCTAATACCGCGAAATTACGAGACAATCCCATCCAATCCCCCAGAGAACGGATCGATGACATTCTAGATACAGCACGAACGCGGAAGCTCACTATGGACTCCGCGAACAACTCGGGCACGAACAGTCCGCGACGGAGGAACAATGGCGATGCTACAGCGGGGAACGAGAGCAGTGCTGATGAGGAAACGAGTATCTTCGGGCACAACGGGAGGCAGAATGTGAACTACCAGAGCACGCAGCGGACGGATCCCAAGATCGTGCAGGAACAGCCTAGCACGGGCAGCATAAGAAGGTCAGGGAGAGTACCGACACAGGATCAGGAGACACCGCACAACGAGGATGATGAGGACGAGAGCTTTTGGAGGAGGGTAATATCAAAGTACGGGTCCATAGAGCTGGAAAATAAAGGCAGTGTCGCCAGGGACCATCTAGCCCTAGGTAAACATTCCTCGTCCTTGCGCTAGAGGTAGCGAAGTGCAGAGTGAGAGCTTTTCTGACACCTTACTTCTACAGAACGAACCTTCCTTGCTTGGCTTCGAACCTCCCTAGCTTTTGCTTCGATAGGCATAGCAATTACGCAACTCTTCCGTCTCAACACCACCTCAGCAGCAGCAGGCTCTGACGCGGATCCATATCAGCATCTGCGGCAGATGGGAAAGCCGCTGGGGGCGACGTTTCTTGCTATCAGTATAGTGATGTTGTTTGTAGGGTTCCACCGCTATTTTGAATCGCAGCATTGGATAATCCGTGGGAAGTTCCCGGCCAGTAGGGGGAGCATAGCGTTGGTTGCATTTATTACTTTTGCGCTCATGATAACGAGCTTAGTCGTTGTAGTCGTTGTTGGGCCGAGGGCATTTGAGAAGAGGTGAGGATGTTTGCATAAACTGGATGGTTGGTCTGTACTATCTTGTGTTGAAGCATATCATAAGGCGTTACATTTGGACTGGTTGAAAATAACAGAGGAGGCAGAGGCCAGGCAGGGTCTATACTTCTTCGGGAGATAAATGCTCCAATCATTATATAAGGAAGATTGAAGAGAAGTATAAAAAATTTGAGATTAGTAGCAGAGTACCTAGGTAAAATAGGTGAAGATCGCGCAAAGGATATCTGAGTGAATGTAAGATTACTTGCAGAGCACTTGAAGGAATGAAGTTATCAAAATTCCGGTAACAAATTATTTTCATCTTAAAACATTTTCTCTGGACTAGTTGCACCTTGTACGCGTCGTCAACCTCACGAACACATCATTGCATCACCACCTTGTGCCACTCAGAAGAAAGCTGAACAAGAACATAAAATAAATAACAGCCATGGCACCGAAAAATGCAGTGGACATCCCATCCTTCTGTACGACTCAGCTTGCCCTCCTAGACGCTGAGCTCCAATCTGAGCTCTCAGAAACCTCATCTCTCATCTGCAATACCTCGCCTACCAGTCTCCAACGGGCAGGCATAGCAATCACCAACCTAGTCCTCTCATCCCAGCGGACCGGCCTCGGCGGCAAAACGGTTGTCGAACTCACGCCCGATTCTGCAACATCCAGCAAGAAAGGCAAGGATGATGATGGCGAGCTACCAGAACATGGGATCCGAACGGGTGACATCATCGTCGTGAGCGAGCAGCCAGCGGGCAGTGCGAAGAAGAAGGAGGTTAGGGAGTTGGAGGAGAAGGGGTCGAGAGGTGTGGTTACGAAGGTTCAGAGGACGGCGGTTTGGGTTGCGTTGGACGGAGAGGAGGATGACATCCCGGCTGCGAAGAGAATGTGGATTGTGAAGCTGGCTAACGATGTCACGTACAAACGGCGAGTTTTTCAGCTCTTTACCGTCTATATTCTTTTGTTGTTCAAAACACTCCTGGCACTTGAAGTTGAGCATATGTTTCTGACAAGCAGGCAGCATGAATCAGACAATGAACAGGCTCCTAAAGATGAACCCGGATGAGTACTCGAGTTTTGTACGGGTTCTGTTTGGGTTAACTACTCCATCACCTGTGTCCGGAGATCTGAGTGAGGGCGAGGGCGGGAAGCTTGAGTGGGTTGATCCAAGTTTGAATGATTCTCAGAAAGATGCTATTCGATTTGCGTTGGCTTCGAAGGAAGTGGCCTTGATACATGGTCCTCCTGGGGTATGTGTTATATACTCTTACTATTTTGCATTCTTGCCTTTTGCTTTGAGCAGCGTTGTTTTGCAGTGGCAGTGGAAGTCCTGGCTTCGCTTTGTGTAACCCCTCTCTTTACTCCGACCATGTGGAATGGCTACACTGGAGGGCAGTCTTCCCTCTTCCCCTCCATGTATCATTCCTTCTTGAGTCTATTACTTTTGTAAATCTGCCACAGCATCTAATCATCTTATCCACTTCCCATCACAAACTTCGCTAACCTCAGGTACAGACGGGCAAAACGCACACACTAATCGAACTCATTCTACAGATGCTCAAGCAAAACTTGCGAGTTCTAGTCTGCGGGCCATCCAATATCTCAGTTGACAATATAGTAGAGCGTCTGGCTCCCCACAAGATTCCAATCGTTCGACTCGGCCATCCGGCTCGACTTCTACCTTCTGTGCTAAACCACTCATTGGATGTTCTCACCCAAACTTCGGATGCTGCTGCGATTGTTAAGGATGTGAGAAAAGAGATGGATAGTAAGCAGGCATCGATCAAGAAGACGAAGAGTGGTAGAGAACGAAAGGCAATCTACGGAGATCTCAAGGAGCTCCGGAAGGAATTCAGGGAGAGAGAGAAAAAGTGTATCAATACTTTGATCGGGGGCAGTAAGGTCGTCCTGGCCACTCTTCATGGAGCCGGAGGTTTCCAAACTAAAGACGAAATCTTTGATGTCGTCATCGTTGACGAAGCAAGTCAGGCGTTGGAGGCACAATGTTGGGTACCTCTTCTCAGAGCAAGCAAAGTCGTCCTTGCAGGTGATCATCTTCAACTCCCACCTGTAGGTATTGGAGAAGCCATAATTTCTTCATTTCAGTGTGCCTGGATTTGCTGGAGACATGTCTCATCTTCCAAAAGTGTTCCCGATGAGCAATTGCTAATCTACTTCAGACGATTAAGACATTGAATTCGAAGACGAAGAATTCCAAAACGAGCGAAACCGAGGGAATCATCAGAGGAATGACACTGGAAACAACGCTGTTCGATCGACTCCTCAAGCTCCATGGGCCCGGAATTAAGAGGATGCTAACAACCCAATACCGCATGCATGAAAAAATAATGAGATTTCCATCTGATGAAATGTACGAGTCGAAACTCGTAGCAGCAGACGGAGTAAAGGATCGACTTTTGGAGGACCTACCCGAGGTATTACCGACTGAGGATACAATCGAGCCTTTAATATTCTTTGATACTCAGGGAGGCGACTTCCCTGAGAAGAATGAAGATGATGTCGACAAGAAGGCTGGAAAGGGAATGATGGCCGAGAGCAAGAGCAACGAAAATGAGGCGGCTCTGGTCAAAAGCCATGTCCAGAACCTGGTAAATGCAGGTGTCAAAGCTGAGGATATTGCTGTTATCACACCATATAACGCTCAGGTATGATTTTCCACTTCCTTTCGGCGTATCTCGCATGTCCCGGCTTCTTCAGAATGCAAAGGCGCAACCTTTACATTCTGATCTAGCAATGTCTTCTATTCCACCTGGCACATATACTCCGCATCGCTCATCTCAAGTCCAAGTGTCTGAAGCATCCGAGCATTCTCTCAGGGACGTCGCAGGCCCCATATTTTCTTCCTTGCGGCCTGGAAGGGAAATCAATAATGCCTTCGCTCAGATATTGGAACTACTCCCAAGTTGGCAGTGGCTGGATTTTGCTTTATTGATTTACCTTGCTGAACCTTTCGGCGAGTTGCTCCGATCGTATGTCTCAAATGCCATTGGATATTCCTAATTATTGAGATGCCTTCGCCGCCGAGGTTGATTTTTCCAACGTGGTGGGGTTGGATGCGTATCTTATCTGTCTGGAGATCATAGCCTTGCTTCATTAATGCAATGTCGGGAAGTGGCGCGGCAACATAAACCACATGCTAATTGCGTTCATTATAGCTAGCATTAATGTCTCGTTCAATGAAGGAGGCATTTCCAGGCATCGAATTGGGTAGTGTAGACGGATTTCAAGGACGAGAGAAAGAGGCCATTGTCCTGAGCCTCGTCAGAAGTAATTCTGACCGCGAGGTAGGGTTTCTCAATGACCGTCGAAGACTCAATGGTAAGACTTCAAATTCCAAACGCCACCCCACTCAGAATGGAACGCTGAATTTGTAAACCAAACAGTCGCTATGACACGGCCTCGTCGGTCTCTAGCAATAGTCGCAGATTCGGAAACGTTACAGTGAGTTCAGACCCAGCAGATCAATCCTTGCCCTTGAGAAACCGCCCTTTGCTCTCACTTGGCAGACTGAGACAAGTGCTAACGACCGACGTGTGATCGATGTGCATGCAGAAGCAACAAATTTCTGAAATCTTGGATGGGCTTTCTCGAGGAGAATTCAGACTTGCGATATCCAAATGTAGCTGATCTGAATACGCAATAGAATTCGGGGCTGCGATTTGCGTGTAGGATCATGCCGCAAACCTGGTAAGGTTGTTGTTGGGTACATCGGCGGAAAATTATGAGCCTGCTCTTATTGCATATTTTGCGCAATATCGGAATTCAACTCCAGCTGTTGGTCCCTGTCCCTTGCCAGCGAGCCCGCAAAGCCCACGCGAGTCACCGGGGTTTGCGCGCATCAGACGAACATCCCGGGTGTTTCATATAACGAACATGCAGCAGGATGTCATGTAGTCCGCTAGCAACAGTGCGAACGAGGAAGCCAACAGGTAGTACAGTAGTATCCTTCGGACTATTATCAGTCGAACTCTCCTGAGTCAACTAATAAGCTCGCTTTGGGCGAGAATATCAGCTCGCTTTCAGCACTTGATACAGTAGTGTGAGCGGCATGAATGTCTAGAGATGACCGCATCCTCGAGTCAGTGTTCATGCGTGTGGCTGCTCGCTTGTCTACCAAAAGTAATTATCCCACACAGTATATTTAGTCCATGGTCTGTGAGTGCAAGTCAACAGAACGGCACCAAGTGGCCAGAGTTGTTCAAGTTATTCCTTGTCACACTGCCCTTCAGTTGAGCTAGCTTTCCCCTCTCCTTGCCCCCCTCCCGATTCGCTTCAGCCCCGAGGGAGTGGTGCCAGAGACATCATCAGAGCCCCTCTTTTGGTGCTCAGACACCACCAACACACAGCAGTGAGAGCACTTGTTTCATGCCGTCAACCATTTGCATTGAAGCCATCCATGATACGTCGCCAGGGCTCAGACGAAATCTGCACAAGGATGGCACAAGATAGAGGGTCACAGCCGGTGTCTTCCGACTCGATTGCAACTTTGCAACGTGGAAGCTTTCTCAAATCAACTCGTATCCCTCCTGCAATTGTACAGTAGTGGTGTCGGTTGTTAGCCACTCTCGGCATCACCTGTGCACACCTATGCAGCGGACGTGCATTCAAGCGCGCTGCTTGCTGCAAGGAATGAACGAGTGAGCTTCTGTCCAACAACGATAATATGTGCTCTCCTGGGCATTAATACTGCAGAGCAGAAGGTTTGGCCGTGGTCGTAGACAGTCTTTATCAACGATTTGCTGAAGCCGACCGTCGCAAGAAATGTGGCGGGCAGCTTTCCATGGAAAACTGGAGATCTTTGACCAGGCCCCTTGCCAGCGAGATCCAGTCTCGGTACCAATCGCCAGCACTCCACTCCACTCCACTCCGTGGATGAGGCAGGCAGGCAGGCAGGCAGGGAGGCTAGAACTCCGGAATCCTGAGAAGCTCCCAGAAAGAGACGACAAAGTCTCCTGGTTTCGGATGAAAGACCGCAAAGCAGCTCTGGCTGAACTGATGGAGACTTCGTTCGCACGCGAACAAGCCGCGCTCGACGACAGACTATCCACTTTGGGCAGTCTGGCTTGTCTCATTTGCTGAATCCAAGCACCTGCTTCGTGGGGTAAGGACGGAAGCCTTCCTCATGCGGCTCAGCAGGGGGGCTCGGGGGGTTCACTTTCTCAATTTCGATGGATCTCCCGTCCGGCCATTCAATCTTCCCTTCCCTTCCCTTTTTAACCCTCCGCTGCGCTGCGCTGCGCTGCGCTGCCCTGCCCATGCCTGTCGTCTCCTATCGAACCGGTTTCATGGGTGTCTCCTTGTCGGTCGATGACAGGCGTCGCAGAGTTATATGATCTGTGATGCATCCGCTATGCATAGACTACTGAAATTCCAGCTCTTCCTATTCATGGAGCAGGGAAGGCCCACGACAAGACCTCACCGATTGTGCTTTATGATGTGCAATGTCATGGCATGTGTCTAGAACATCTGACGCACTTCCGAGCCTACCCAACGCCACTGAATTTATCTCCAGGACCTGGCAGCAAATGTATATCTCACCGGCTCTGATCCGTCGCCTCTGAGCCTTAGGTGGAACAAGTCAGTCCTATCACCAGTCTTTACCATGAGCAAATTCCGAGGAACGGGAAAATGGCGAGCAGAGGGCCCGGCGCGCTCGAACACAGGAACTTCAATACGAGGGAAGACTATCTCACAACCCATTCCATTCCCGGACGACGATGAATTCCCAATCCGAACTCCAGGATGCGGGATAGCACTACCCCTGGGCGCAGATGGCATTGAAAGACTGAGAGAATCAACGGCGACCGACGAGATTGACAGTACATCCCACCAAACAGGCATTGCCGTGAGCGACTATACAACCGGCACCAGAACACCTCCTATGCCCACGGAGCCTCCTCCCCCTCTACCAGAAGCCCAAGTCATGCGTAACATCCAAGGGCACCGTCCCAATCAGCCCAGCGGGCTCAGGAACTCCATTGCAAGTGTGCCGGATGCCCCAAGCATTGACAAGCCACAAAGGAAGAAGTCCTCCTTGAGATCTGTCTTTGGAAAGCTATTCGGTAAGAAGCGGAAAGGAAGTAGCCCGTCAAGCAGTAAGAGAGCAAGCGGAACTAGTGATGTGCGAGCTGGGCAGCATCGGAGCGTAAGTACTGAGCAGTCCTCTCCAACTTCTGTGGCTAATATGTCAGAAGGATCCATCGGCATTGAATCGAATTACGCAAGGCACCATGAACTCGCAAAAGCGCTCAGCATCCCTTCCAATCAACGAATTCAATCGCGCACTTCGATCGCACAGCATTGTCGCAACCGACTTCCAAGATATAGGGAGCGATAATGCGACCGATCCAAACCGCGAATCATTACAAGGAGATAGGCAGAGTAGGCCGCGGAGGGCAACAACACCAAGCCGATTGTGGACGCCAAACAAAGTACCGGGATATGCGGATTGGACAGGGCTTTCACCGCGGCCAGCCAGCAGCCACGCTCGCGGCAGTAAGGCTATCTCAGACGAGGACGCCAATTCGGCGATTGGAACAGCGGTTACAAGTAGCAACCACCCGAACAGACGTTCCAGGAGTGTTGGTGAGCTACAAGAGGCTATGAGAATACATGCCGTTACAAGGCGGCGTAGCGACGAGATAAGATACTGGCGGGAAAGTTATGATCCAGGATTGCTATCCCCCATGTCCTCAAATAAGGCAGAGACGGAAGACCCCATTCCGGTTGAGACTGAAAATCCACGTGATGAAGAGCCCCCTAAACCAGAGCCCTTCAATTTTGGGCCCCTGGGCGAGATGGCGGGTATGAAAATTACGCAAGCTGCAAGTTTGGAGACGAGAGTTCAGCGGCTGGAAGGCCGAATGAATAAGGTGGAGAGGAGTGTGTCCGGGTTCAGGAACGACGCACCCATTCAGCTCCAGGATCCGCCCAAGAGAAACTCCGCAAGCTACCGAAGTAGATCGGGCACGAGACCAACAACACGACAATCAGAGGTATCTTTACCCAAGAATCCAAGATGTCGAGATACGCAAGCTCGAGGGGAATCTCGTGGAAGCAGACAAGGCAGCCAGAATCGGTCATCTTCCTACAGCAGTAGCCGGCCATCAACAATGTCTACGAATGTTTCACAGCTTCAGTCGTTTGATACGACAGCTGGAGAGTTGCTCTCTATTGAAGCAGCAGATTCGGCCCAGACTACCGCACGTCCGCTTTCTACTTCCACAACGATACGCGGCATTCCATCTAGTTCTCCTACCATGCCGGCCGACGGGACTCTGAATGGCGAACACTTCAAAGCTCTCACCGACATGATCCACGCCGAACAGTCAGAACGCCTGAAACTTGAATCTGTAATTCATAGCCTCCAACGTCAACTTCAGACCGTCCTATTAGCCAGCAGGAATACCTATCCCACACCCGACTCTGCTGCTCCTCCTCACGAAGGCGGTATAGAAGGCAGTAATTTCTCCAACTTCGAGCAAGATGACAGCAGTGACGATGATGGGCGGTACGTTAACGAAGAGGTCTTTCAGACGCCGAATGAAGAGCGGAATCACTTCGAAGACGAGATTTTCGGCGATGTATCCGGAAATACGAACGACGGGAAGAACGCTCCGCGCACCTTGAGCCTGAGCCAGATCACGCTGGGGAGGAATGTGCAGCCGAGTCTGAACTTTTAGCATATCTAGCATTTCCTGCATTTGTTTCATTTGTCTTTAGGGGAAAGGCTTTATATGATACCACGGGGATTTATGACTCGCGCCCCTTACGAGGTGGATGTTGTCTTGTATGATTTATGCGAAGCGAGACTTTGCTGCGGGTTCAGTCTGTACTGCGGAAAGCGATTGGGCGATTAGCATTTGCATAGCGGGATTTTGGTATTTGATATTTTTATAGTTGGGTAATGTACATGGTGAATGATATTGCATATTTTACTCCACTTTCGTTGAGGTACATGGTGATATTATTATGTGGTCTAGTTCGCCCCTAAGTCTGCAGACCCAAGATTGATGTAGCCTCAGTGTAAGAGTAATGGTTTCACAAGAGTGGCATGTCCTACGGTGTTGATGTTAAAAAGCCGTACTGTTGACAAGGAGCGTCGTTTGACGTGCCACATTCGCTAACTAAGGGGTTAAGCGAGATCTGCCTCGATGCCTTCGACTTCAAGGAATCAGCAAGACACTACTTAGCTCCCGTAGGTGACGAACAATATTTGCGCTGTGAGTTAAGCTATTATACAAACCAATGTCGGTCAGCCTCGCCGAGACGTCGAACTACCATAAGAGGTATGTTTGTCAATCTTGTGTGACACAGTCATGCACCAAAAACCACAGTCGTTTCCTACAGCTTGTGAGAAGTAACTGGACCAGAGAGTTTTCGTGATACAATCAAACGGATAGCTACTAGTAGCTTTGTAGATACCCCTGCTGTATCCACTTAAAGTTATTAGTTATTGTCAAAATGGTGAATCCAGATACCACAAGGTGAATGTAAACAAGTCGCGCCAGTAAACGTGTCGGAATCCCAAACTTACTTACGCCAGGTATCTAATTGCAAACTGTTCAATAGAGCGGAGCAAAGTATTTTCTGACAGAATGGAGATTGTGACCATCAAGAGAATCACAACTCCATGTTTTCGCGTCGAATCCGGACTTATTTGGAATCAAATCCTTGGTCAGAATATCTGACATGCGTATTTAGCATCAAAAGAAATGATTTCTGGGGTTATATATGGGATACGATTGCACATAAATCAAACTCTGAATAATGTAATAATTTTCAAAGGTTGAATGTGGGTAGGTCGACCATCCAAGTTGACCTTGACGAACCAGAAAATGTCATCAGGGAATCTTGGAGCCCTGTTTAAAGTAGCACAATTTTCATCCATTGATGACGCTGTCACTTTGTATTGTGGTGTAGAACACAGTTGAGATTCTTCTTCTAGACTTGCAGTCGGTGAAGTTGTGGTCACAAATGATTCGTACCAACCGAGCTGTGGAATGTATCGTGTTGCAAACCTAGACTCACTTGCAATCGGCTGTTCCAGAGTCCATGTAATAATGACCTGATACGCTCGTACATGCCTTTAGTACATTCGGATTTGTAGGATGGACAGTTGTTGTAAATGGCGGGAGTGCACAACATAGCTATGAGAAGCGAGGGTGGTGGGCTCTGAAGTTCCCAGGCGCACTTGCTCTTTCTGATGAGAAGGAGGAGCATCGCCGTAGGCTGACTATCTGCAACATCATATTCAGTTTATGGTTTTGATTCAGACTCAAATTGAGGTAGGGGATGCGAAGAAGCAAAGAGGAGCTCACTAGTGCAACGCTGTTAATATAAATAAATGCCATCTCGCATCCAAGTTTTCATCCATCTCCAAACCTCCATCTTCTACTTCGCGGTGAGGCCGACACCCACCCTTCTGCACTCCAGAATTTGCTTTGTTGCCACTTCAGTAGTTACTTGTAAGCAGTAAGTAGCTTTCTCAATAAAGGTAGGTAAATACCATGAAGTGTGTTTACTACATTGTATAGAAACACAGCCATGACGCGGTGTCTTGGATCCTTCCTCGATTTTCAAGATATGATTTAAGATAGACATCGATATTACCGCCTGGCTTAATCTAGAACAACCAACAGGCAACCCATTTGTAGGTCGGACAGTAGCCTTCTGTCTTCGATCAATCTGCAGGAGAAACTTGTCCTTTTCTCTGCCGCACGCCTCCAATCAACACTTTTATACAACCTTAATCTTTAGCCTCACATTCACCTGTTCCCAAATGGGCATAACATATGCTCGCTCGAAGCAACTTCGTATTCCTCATATACTTCGGTTGTTCCGAATCCTGCTCCAACGTGGCAATTAAATAAACACAATATTTCGAACGACAACGACACAATAGCATACGATGGCTGGTTCAACTCCAGAAGCAGTGGTTTCATATATTAGAATATGATATATATAATCGTTACGCTGATTGGTATCATCATCTCCAACGCTTACCTTGGTATGTCATGGTCATCCATACTTTGGTCTCTGGCCAAGGAGAAGTCTCGTCAGAGGAGAGGTCATTTGAGTGAGGACCCTGGCTTGGGTTTACTGAGACGTGTAATAAAACACTTCCTTATAGACAGCTACTGGCTCCCATTGGGTACAGTATACTTGTGCTGGTTACATACCTCCTTGGGAGCTCATTCCGTGTCGCTGTTGTGCGTAATCCCGCCACAATAAATCGGGCCAGGTCAACGAAGACTACATACGGATTCGAACCTTTCACAAAACCCACCACTTCTAAAGGTCCTACTTTAGAACTTGACAATGAACTAACTGCCCCAGCGCCTCCTTTACTTCGGTCATACAATCTACAACGACTCAACGTGTAAATGCGGCAATCATCTTGGCGCTTCTCTTCTACGTAGGACAGAAGTTATGCCTATACCTCTTCTTAATTGAGAAGCTCATGGTGTCCAGGCAAATGCCAGACGTAGAACAATTGATTACCTATGCCTCATTGGTATGGAAATTTTTCTTGTCAGCGTCTCTGGTATTGGATCGGCACTATTCATTTTCCACCTCGATACCTTTCAACAATGCGACTGGAATTTGTCGAACCGGGATTGCCAGACCAGTAGCTGCTACGCTCTTGGCCTGGGACGTGTTTGTCAATAAAGTCCTTATATTCGTCTTCGTTCGACGTTGTAAACCTGACATGGCAAGGGGTTTCAGAGAAACTTCCTTGTACCCATTTGTTAAAGGACTTCTGAACAAGATTATCTATCGAAACAGAAGGATCTTCGCGACGAGAAGTGATATAACACTATCCATCCCTCAGCATACACTTATATGAGTAATTCAAAATGCATTCTGGGGCTGTGTGAGTATTTTGGCATCGACAGTTACCAACTTCTCGCTCTTGCTGCACTGGACTGGGAAAGGACCAGTGTCGGTTTCCTTCATGCTTTGCACACTTGATGGTATGTCCATCTTTTGATTTGATTCCGTGTCCCAGAAGCGGCGAGGGGCAAAGATCAGACTATTATTGTATCTCACAGTGACTTGGGCTCATGTTGTTCTCCACTGGCAAGTCTACGCTCAACTTTCTCTTCTCAAACAGCTCATCTAGCTGCGTCGAATTCTATTAGGCTTAAATAGAGCCAAAACATCCGGATGGGAACCTGGTTGAAGTTTTTGGAAGACTATAGAAGTTGGGAGCCGTGACAGGCTTACAGATGCGCCTCATGAGATGGGCTTAAAACAACAAACACCAAGTGTCTACTCCACAGTACCACCCGATCCTTTGGTCTCTAAACATCCACCACCTTACTGTCAGTCGATGAAGATACCAGTCCGTGAATATGATAATAGCCTTCAAGTGCGAAACAATGGAGTACGCAGCAGGACCTAGGCAGGGAATGGCTGAGGGACAAAGCTGGGAGGCGTCCTTGCATTCGACCGGGTATCAGAAAGCACTTCAGCAACCGCATGATACATGCAGCAGACGTGTAGAAGTGAATGACAGACTTAAAATGTTCAAGACAGGCGAATTGACTTGGTAATTTTCAGACGGAAGGAGGTTGTCTTAAACCAGGCGGCAAAGATGTGAGTACATGACACAGCACAGTGCGTTGGGTAAAGATTGACTGAACTCAAAGAACTTCAAAATATTCCCAAAGCACCTGAGCATGTGCTCTTAACTCTCTTTTCTCCTCGAACCTCCCAAGGGTAGCTGTTGTTGACAAGAACATCGACTCGACCTCCTCGCATGTAAGAGATTAACCGAGCAACCCCCCTTTACGAGCCAGCTACCAACCAGAAGCGAGCACTCCGACACAAAAACATGCCTCGGAATTTCACAGGCACATTCTATACGCCCCTCACATGTGAAGTATGCCCCCCTCCCCCACCCGATACCAACATCATCGTAGCAGCCACCCACCATTTGATTTGCCACTTGGAACATGAAACACATCACTGTAGGCTAAATAGGCTGCATGTCTGGTATGTCTTTTGGTAGCATGTGGGGCGGAGACGTTCTAGAAAAAGGAAGTAACGAGAGAACATCTCATTCGTTGATTCGACTGTTTTCCAGATCTCCATCTGCTCCGTCCGCCGGACTGGGTTGCATCGCTCTTTAAAATAAAGGAAGGCAAGTAAGAGATAAGCAGGTACTACAGTGCCAATCGCTTAGCCGAGCAGTAGCAAGGAACAGGACCCCGGAAACAGGAATGGCAGTAAGCAGAAGCAGAGGCATATAAGCAGCGCTCATATTGGGTTGCTTTTGGTGCTGAGAAAAGCAAGGAAGATGGTGGCAAAAAGCGGAGAAGCAAAGCTCGATGGACAGCTCGATGGACAGAAGCAGAAGGTGGTGGTGTATCATTAGTGACAAGTTTGGGGATTCAAGGCAAAGAAGAAACGAAGCTGGAGAACAAGAAAGGCGACGCACAAATGCGTCGTCAAAATCCGAAACATGCAGGGAGAGCCACGCTTGCGGGCAGATAGACAGACGTGGGCCGAGAAGTTTTGTTCCTGCATCTGTCTGGCCGTTGGTATGGCAGGAATTTTGCCAATGAAGGAGGGCTGGGATCGTGTTGATTGGGTTCTGTGTCATGAGCGTCATGTATGCAGGCCTGCATACTGCTCGAGGTTCATTCAGCAGGCTGGATGAACGAATGATGATGGATTTCTGTATGAAAGAGAGGATGGTAACGAGGACCGAGGAATGTGGGTGATAATATACGGGATTTGTTATGTATAGCTCTTCTCCTGCATCGTACAGGACGCTAGATGTGGATGTTGGTACGCTTACTGCATATCTGCGTCCCAAATGGTACTTGCATGCTGTAAGGATGATTAAGGCGAGGGAGGGTTTGCATATTATTTATGTGCGCTGTATGCATGCATATGCATGGGACCTGATTTCTACATCTTATTGTGATTGTTATATGTTCGAGTTGTAAAGTTTTTCTTCTGTTTGTGGGTGTGCTGGCGATGTGATGCGAGGGAGCTGGTTTCTCGTCATAGCGGCGGTTGTGCTGATTTTTTCTTCAATGCTGTTGGCCAACCGCTTTGGGCGGTTTCTGTAACTCGGACACCTTTGCTCTGGCTGTCACCGCCTTTTTAGGAGGAGGCCCTGGCACTCACACTGTTTTAAACAATCTGACTTGTAGAATCAAACAAAATACGGTCATTATTTTGCCCTGCCATTTTTTTTTCCTGGTGGTGTACTCGTTCGTCTATTGATTGGATTGGATTGGATTGGATTGATGTGTATTGATGTGGAACGACGCCCCTCGCTGCTTTTGCTTTGGTCCTGGGAACTAGGGTGCTGGCGGTGGTTGGTTGATCTAATTCTTGACTGCTCAATCGATTGGCCTTTCCGCGGTATGGGACTGAGAGGGGCATTTCCGTCGGGCGGTGTAGGTGCAGTGGTGAGGAGGAAAAGCAGTGAGGTAGCTGATGAGACTGCCGGTTCGACGGGCAGCAGGGTAGAGTCTGTGGCGTTATTACCACGAAAACGACAAGAACGAAAACCGTTAAGATCGTGGGGGGAGTTAGGTGAGTGAGACTTGAGACCTGTTTTGGAAACGGAGTGGCTTTGAGACTGATTCGGGATGTTTTGGTTTGGTTGGAATAGAGGTATGGCAGCAGTGAGTTCCGAGCCATGAGTGGATGACCGTGTGGTGAACTGATACGGTGATCTAGGGAAGACAATCACTTGATCGAGACAGGCTATCGGTATGCTTTCTTGTGAAGTGGGTGGATTGGCGAGCGGCTTTGTTGACATCGCCTTTAGCTCGGCTACTGGTAGCCTCTCGGCATGTATCTCTAGCCTCACGTATATTCATAACGAAACCGGTTGGTCTCCCCCAAAAGCTGGACTATAATCAAAGTTCGCTTCAAACCTGATTGTCTCCAGTGAATATATACTCGCACCTCATTGGAAGTATTATCTTCGCGGCACTTCCAGTATATCTCTTTAAGAATGAGATTCCACCACGCTATGCGGTCGCGACTTGGGCTGATATTGTCGTCTGCCTAACGTATTTCGTCGGAGTTGCAATATGTTTCTGCCTATCTGCTATGTGAGATGTTGTTCCTCGCTCTGGCATACAAGACTGACGCCATAGATACCATACGGTGATGTGCCATAGTCGGTCGATGGACTTGTTTGGAGCACAGCTAGACTTCCAAGGTGTGATCCTTCTCATGTGAGTGAAATGAGCAGAGAGTATTGGAAACCCCTTCTTGCTCACGGCACGGCACAGAACAACACTTGCTGTTTGTTTACTCCTGCTTATCGCTAGATTTTGCAAGACCAGCGAGCGCTTGCTAATTTCCTCTCATGTAGGTGGAGTGCCACTATCCCACTCATATATTATGGCTTTCATTGTCAAAGTAACTTGCAAAATGCATACTGGACGATGGTAAGCACCTTTGGCGTTCCCTTCGAACATTTCTGACAAGCGGAAGCTATCCATTCTTGCAGCTCTCTGCTCGATATCAACATTTCACTCCCGTTTTCAAGAGCCTTTCCTTCGACCAGTTCGAGCAGCAACTTTTGGTAGCCTTGGACTACTCACCATGGTCCCCATCTACTATGGAGTATACAGAAATGGATGGGGCATGCAGAACCAACAGATGGGAATAACCTGGGTCCTTATAACACTTGTCTTGAATGTTCTCGGGGCCACAGCATACGCCTTCAAGGTTCGCCTAGTGAAGAAACACCTGAAGAACTCTCTGACTGAGATACAGATTCCCGAGAGGTGGTACAGGCGGACCTTCGATACATTCGGAGCGAGTCATCAGGTGTTCCACATCATGGTTGTGCTTGCTGCTCTCACATATACGAAAGGTATACTCCAAGCTTTCGACTTCGTCCATTCTCAAGGTTATAATCCATGCTCAACGCAATAGCATGACGCGGAAACCACGAGACCATTTGCATGAGTACTTGAAGCCATTGTACAGCAAACATTTTAAAGTATAACATAATGCATTGGCAACTGCAAGGTTGTACCAGCCGTAGACTTCCGAGAGCGAAGTTTCAATCAGATACTCCATCGGCAGCAAGCGCCATTCGCAATGCATTGCGGAGACCTCGTATTGGGCTATAAAGTGATAAAGCGCAGGGAACAGTCTCCGATGGATCAATCACGTTACTCGTAAATAGAACATGAAATTCATGCGAAAGTGCATTAAAGATCCCACGGCCGATACAGTCGAAACGTGAGATTCCCCACCACGCTCTTATCAAAGACCCTGCGGACCCTGCCGTCGTGGCCGCGCCGAGAGGCCAAGAATGTGGGCCAACCACCTTCACTTTTGCCTTCTTCTTTTGGTGGATGCTGAAACATTCGAGAAGGCCCGTCATCAAGGTTCCGGATACACTGGCTTCGGACCTGCAAGCTGTTTCCAGCAAGACGTCCGCCGACAGTATCAAAGATGCAAGAGATTCGGGGACGTGATAAGATTTGGCACAGGGGCGTTGAGAGCGAACCAGCCGGGGGATTTCTCGCAACTCCACCAGGGACCTAGGAAAGACGTCGAACGACAAATATGCCGAGGATGTTGAAGCTGACCAGGTGTAAAGAAGACAAGTGTTTGGAGGGAACCATGCCGTCCTACTAGACCTCATTTAGCCAAGATCCGCTTCTTCGAAGCTAATCTTGGGCAGATCGCAATTCACTATCAAAGTTTGACTAACATGCGACACATGTGGTAAAGTGTTTTGGCCGCTCAAAATCTGAAGTGTGGCAGCGTTGGAGAATTCGAGCCCGCAAAAATGATTCGGAGGCACGGTGTTTTGCCAGAATGAAACAGATTTATTCATCAAAACCGTTGGAAACGTGCCACACAGGCACAGCAGAATGCAATCGTCCGAAGGCAGCAGCAAATCTATTTCCTCATGCAGGTCTAGATTTGATGGCCAGCCAGACAGCCGAACCTTGTTAGCGTACTAGGAAAGAATCCGGGGGAGTTCTTGCGTCCGACGATTTGCCCAAAGGGACGAGAGGACGACTACTACTCCAGACGGGCTTGCAAAGCCAGACGAACTACTCGAGTAGGGAAAATTGCCCCTGCCTCCTGGAGAATAATAGTCTCTTTGCTCAAAGCCTAGTCCCAACTACTCTGGAGTTATCGATTGTCAATTGGCCACAGACTGGTACGGGAGCGGTCGCGGGCCGCTGATGGTGTCATTCTGAATTACTGTGAGACCTGGCATGGATTCTAAGCTCTAGACGTGTGGATCAAGAAGAGAGTACGCTCGTGTGAATTTGAAATAGTTCAAAACAGGGCCACGAGTGATTTGCAGAGTGTGAAGCAGCCCCCAACTTTAAAACGAGGATTCCGAAATGATTACCGGAGAACCGGCGGGCGGGCGACGTGTCTGAGAGTTCGAAGGGCGTTTCCAACCTGTCGGGTCTTCTCCCACTTCTTCCACTTCTTCTGGCCTTCCTCTTGCAGCGCCACGTTCTCGAAGTGGATGGGAGTCGATATGGACTCTCGGACAGTTTGATAGTGCCGGCCCACTTCACATGCATCCCCTTGCCATCCAGGAAAACTTTGTGCGTTTGGGTCTGGCTAGCAAGTCCCGCAGACCCGTTGTGATTTTGGAAGAACATCCGGAGCCGCGGGTGGGGAGGCCGCTATGGATTCGCTGAATGATAGCGGTGGTTGGCTTGGCTGGAGTCCATGGCTGTTCTCAAGTCCAAGCAGCCTCTGATCCTAAACAAGGGTCTTTCCCAATCGATAGGACACGGGACGAAGCGAGTCAGCCATGAGTTGAGTTCAGTCGAAGATCAGATGGCAGGTTGTGTGGAGTGGAGTTGGGAACAGACAGCGGCCGAGAGCTGTGCGGTTTTGTGTTCTTGTGCCTTCCTTGACAGTTTCTTATGATGCCTGATATCTTTGAAACGCAGACTGACGTTCTGACATGTCCAAGGTGCATAAGCAGACCCGACCTGCCCTGCCCTGCCCTGCCCTGCCTCGAGGAGTCTGTACCTGCAGCGTACCTTGCAGTAGAAAATGCAGAGGTCAGCGTCCCATTGGAAGACGAGCCAGAAACGGCAGCAGTCATCCCCCGATTCGCCGGGGCAAATGCATGGTCGATAAGACGGCCAGGGCCGGGGAGGTCTTGACTTTGACTTGTCGTCGCTGGGGGCAGAGCCCACGCCACCGAGTGATGCCCCTGCAGGATCGGGTGGAGGAAGGGCCGGTATCCCAGCATCCCACAAGCTGGCGGCCTGGCGACCTCGATGCCGTACCTAGCAAGCGTTCCCAACATGCACCAACGGCTGCTTCTGGAAGAGTCCACCAACAAGCCAGCGAGAGCGCCCTTCATCAAGGGAAAACACAAAATTTCGAGGCGGCATGGTGTTTGTTGGCGACGGTTGTGTTGCAGTAAGTGGTGTGTTGTGGTGAGGTGCCAACCAGAAACATGAGAGGTGAAAGGTAAACGTGAAGATAGACAAGCCAGGCCACGCCAGGATATGGATCTGGATCTGGATATGGAGAGGAGATGCCAATGCAAGTCCGTGTTCCCCAAAAGCAGTTAATTATGCCATGCCCAAATCCAACCCGAATCCCAGTCGATCCAGCCCCCACTCTGGAGGCAAGCAAGCTCAAGCAAGAGGGTGTGGTAAAAGCAGCAGGCAGAGCGTCCGAAAAAGAACCTTGCGGTCATCCTATCTTTAGCTGTGCATATCGCTTGCACGTAATGTACAGTACTACTTTTACTTTCACAAGTTGCATAATTAGCCAATGCAGAGCTATTATTATGCAATTTCCACAGTGACAGCGATTGACAGTGACGACGAGCCACACTGGCCAGGGTGCAGAAAATAAGACAAAGGTTTGATGTGAGCGCGCGTCCGTGGTCAGCAGCATGTGATACACTCATGAGCGTCCTCTTCGTGACGCTGTGGCAGATGGACCTGGGCGAAACGCTGAATTTCAGTCAATTGTGCATCTGTGTTCACAATTGTGCAGTCTGACTGGACAGGCATAACTGGCTTAGGGCTCGAACCGCCATCACCAGGTCGTCCTGGCCACGCAAGAGGTGAAGAGGTCAAGCCGTCCCTCCACACAGACGGACGGGATCGATACGCGGCTGCTATCGTCCTATCGATAGGAAGATAACGAAAATGCACTAAGACCTTCGCCTTCATCTTTCACAGCTCAACCGAATCAACCTCGACAAAAGGGTTGGGTAGTATCGTGAGTCCTAAACAGCTAGGCAGATAAACAAGGCCCAAAACGAAAAGCGACTTCAATTTTCCGATACCAAAGTTCAGAATAGTGCCAAACGCCAGCTCCAGCTGCAGGCGCGTTTGGACGAAAAAGGGTAAAAGGCTACATATCTACGAGAATAGCGCTCCCGACTGCTGGCGTTTATGTAATGCAAGCTTGTCTCTGACGCCATGAGAAGATCTCGATCTGAAGCCTCCGTTGACTTCTCGACGCGCTTTTGATCGTTGCTTCTTTCCTTTCTCTAGACTCATACCGGTAGATCTTGAGATCTTTCTTGAAATGGGGCTTTCGGAATGGTATTTGCGAGGCCAGAACGAGTTGCTAGCTAGAAACCAAGGCATGAACTGGGTTGCTCCAGTGGCTGCTCAAAAAGAGAAGGGGATGTTTTGTTCCTGCAGGAAGCCACCCTGACAGCCGAAACACTCGTGTCTCGATGACCACCTTGTGCCTGGAAAAAGTGATATCTCGTAATTTAGCTCTTGGGCGACTGCCAACGGGAGGGAAGAGACATGTGGGTTTCTGTGAGACATTTGGATCCAGAAGAGACAGGCCAGTATTCCGAGCAATCTGGCCGTTAAACACACGCATCTCGTTCGTCATCCATCCGTTGTGGGAGCTTGTGGCTGCCCAAAAGCTGGGAGACGGTTGTTTCATGGCTCGCTGGAATTTCTCCCCGCATCGCAGATCCCCTCCGCTCCCCTCTCTCCGAAAAAGACAGGTGGGGCTCAGTAAGGTCCATCTGATGTGAGGGAGGAGCTGAGCGTAGGCATGGGCATGGGCATGGATAGACATGGAATATTTTGTTGGAAGGGCTGAAAAGAAGTTTATCGGTCCGCTATCGATAGCGAGGACCAAGACTTTCTGAAGTCATGGTCGACAATTGATTGACTGCACTGCATCGCAGCCAGAGAGGCGATAATGCGGAAGGGGATTGCGATTGGCGACACCGCTGTGGGCGAAAAAGAATCTCTTCACTTCTATCGGGGACGCAGCGGCCAATGGTCAAGGATGCTAGCAAGAGGGTGACTGCAGCTCTGCCGGACACGAATAGTGTTTCCTTTGTTCACTGCATCCAATGTGCATCTTGGAGGGGCAAGCTGAGTTGTGAGTGGTTGTAGATTTGAGCGCGAGACGCGAAACACGTCCATCGTGCTGCAGCATCACGTCGAATAGAAACGACGACGAAATCAAGAAGCACCAGTACTCTTTTTTTTTTTTTGGCTCTCCCCCTCTCGATGGGAAAGGCGCATATGGCGGAGACGGATATGCCGCTTTGGGCATGAGAGCATGCTTCGCTCGTTCGTTCGCATGAAGCTGCGAAGACGAGCCCCCATGTTGCAAACCTCAATGCTAGTGGTTGAGACGTTGCGATGGAGTGGAGCGTGTAGGCTGTGCTGTCTCGCTGTGTTGAATCAGAACGGGATCGCCATATGAGACTGCATCGTCGGAAAGGACAGAGCGAAGCGACAGGACAGACAGGACAGACAGCACAGGACAAAACAGGCTCGAGCGAGGTCACAGTCCCGCGCCGGCCACACCGCACGTCGGGTATGCATTTCATCATGTTTGAATCGAGCGGGTTTCTGGCGTATAACGGTATGCAGGAGTAATAGCTGCGGCAAAGTGAAGCCCGTGATGTTTCCTGACTCTTGCTCTTGTGGAGGCGAAGTATCAAACTGTTTCCATTTCTCAGGCGAGCGGATCAGTTGTTATGATTGCAGAGCATGGAACCTGGGTGGGACGGGCTAGACTCTGTTGTAAAGCAACTTTATTATTGGAAGAAATCAGCATTGATGTTGATGCTGTTCGCAATCTCCTTTGACTACAACGATCCACCACAGTTGGAAACAGCGATCTCTAGGCGATATATCTGCAGTTATTTGCTGAGGTCCAGGTCCAGGTCCAGGTTCAGGTTCAGATTCAGGTTCAGGTTTCTGGTGCACCGAGGATCGGACTGTGCGAATCATCGTCGGGTCTCGTCCATCGCCAATTGATTGCTTGACAGTGCTCCGATTTTCACATATAGTCGCCACATAGAACAGAACACGATGTTGGATTCGGTGGAGCTGGAAAGCTACCTAGCGAGCTGAGTACGAAGTCGAAGTCCAAGGACGAATGGAGTGCGGTAGGTTGGTGACGCGTTATGCAGGCCGTATCCGTACCTGACCCTAGCCTCGTATGGATAATAATGCAATTCCCTGGCTAATGCACGCTGCCCTGGTTCCCTGGCTCCCTGGCCGCTCATCTTATTTTATCACTTGGTGCTGGTCTACTACTGGTACGGTACAATGGTAGTGGTAGTGGTAGTGGTAGTGGTACCCAGTGGGAGTGGATAGTGCAGGCGACGCGGGCTTATGCATGCATGCATGCACATAAAATACAGTAGTAGTAGTGCCGCGCTGAGAGGAACAGAAAAGTGCGAGCGGTGCAGCGTCAGAGCATCTGCCCTCGCTAGGTACAGTACAGTAGTAGGTTGGTACCCTTACCGTACCTTACCTTACCTTACCTTACCTGCCCCGAGTACTACTCGCCGCTTTTCCCCCCAGCTGGCCGCTCGACTGGCTGGCTGGCTGGCTCCAATCAGCATCACGCAATTGTGACCACGAAGGGAAGGATGCTTTAACTCAACTGTACAAGTATCCACTGAAGCCCGTCGCTGAAGCTCCCGGAAAATCCATCACTTCTCTTGGGCTGGTGGGTGGGTTTGCGCATTTAGCGTCGAACACCACGGCCAGCATGTGGTGGAAATCCCGGTGTCTCCCAGCCAAGCAGAACGCTGGGAGACGGCTGGATTTAGAAAATGGAAGCCCTCCCCACTTAGCCAGCGTGCCCGCGCCCCATCCCATCCCATCCCATCCCATCCCATCCCATCGCCGTCCGGCCTGTCCCATCCATGATCCATCCCACCCCATCGAGCCCATCCCATCTCATGCTGTCGTTGCCGGATGATGTTTCTGTTCTGCTCTGTTCCTGCCGACGCCCCCCAGACAGACAGGCCTGCTGGAGCCAAAAACACTACGAAAGTAGTCTCTCCCAGCCAGCCAGTCCCTAGACGCGGACCTGTCCTTCTGCACCCTGTCTCGTCTTAACTCCACAACCTAACCTCTCCTCACCACACCACACCACACCACACACATCACCCAATTCTTCATCTGCCTCTGCCCATCCCCAACTCATCCTATCCTATCCCATCACATCCCATCCATGCCTCCCCACTGCGACGCTCCCACTCCCACTACCCGCGCCCTGGTCGTCCTACCCTAGTCCCCCTGACCCTTGCCCCTGTCCGCTCGCCATGCATCCTGCTGAGACCTAATCCATTCTAGTCCTCTTTGCCTATCTTGCCTTGCCTTGCCTTGCCTTCTATCGCTCGTCGATCTACTTATTTTGTCAGGGTCCCCTTCACCACACATTCGCTTGCTCGTCCTTCAGGTTTACCTCCACCACGCCAAATCATTCTTCATATACCGACGACCGGTTTCCCTTTTGTATCTCGCTCTTTTGGATCATTTTCGATTTGTGCTTCTTCTTAAAGCCTTTCGACTATCTTCCGTACCTTCTTTTAGCATCCTGCTACCACTGCTTTCCAGCTCTGTAAACCACCAGTCGATAATTGTTCCAAAACTCGTTGGCAACATCACAATCGTCCTTTGCAACAGCATATGTATAATCAGCGTCCTCGACAATACAACTATTAGACAGTTTTCAAAAAACTGTTGTCCAGTCGCTCTCTAAGCACCACTTTTCTATCATCTAGTTTTCGAGTTTCGACACCTTCCAGCTCCAACAACAACCTGATAAACCGGACCGAACATAATCAACACTTTCATATCGAATCCTCAGAAATCAAAACCCGTTTGGTATGTACACAACAAAAACCGGCGTTGTCATTGACAAACCGCAAGACTCGTTCATAACTGACACACGGCAGACCAGAAACTGTTCACATTTTCGACATGGATTCCTCATACGCACACCCCCAGTCGATGGGGCAATCACCTTTCTTCTACTACAACCCAGACCCAAAACCCGATAACCGTCAACACGGCCACTTCTCGCAGCAGCCAAGCAACGTCCAGGTGCCAGTATACCATCCACACATGCAGCCAATGCCGTCGACTCCAATCTACTCGAGACCGAACTCAGCGTGCTCCCAACCGCCGATGCATCCGCAGATGTACAACAACGGATACCCGATGAACATGACCCCGATGGCCTCCCCTCGTCCGATGTACCAGAACCAGAAGCCCACGATCATGATCCAGGAACACGCTCCAAGAATGGTCCTGGAGTCGGATATGCACGAGAACGACCTGTGCTATTACCCATCAACTCCACCACTGTCCGCCTCTGGAAGCACGATCAGCAGTCCATCCAGCTGTGACGTTCTGCCAACCCCAATGAACACTGTTTTCTTCGGGATGGACTCCTTTGAGGGTGTCAAGGACGGCTGTCAGGGCGAAGTTCAAGCTGAGAACCTCGCTGGCGGTGACTGGGCACGCTGCGGATCTCCTCCCATGACTCCAGGTATGTGCAGATATTTCATGGCCTGTGCGGATGCGTGCATGATATGGCCGTGTCGTTGCGATGTACTCCTCGGATTGCCCGGCTCCATTTATTTAATCATTTACATTCATTACCGCGGCGGGATCCCTGTCGTAACTTAATTATGGTTTTGCCTATGGGGCCCTCGCTGACTCGCTCTTTTCTGTGCAGTGTTCATCCAGCCCAACTCGCTTATGAGCAACGGTAGCGCTAATGAGCTTCTGTCTGCGACATCTTGTCCCTCACTTTCGCCCTCGCCTTCCCCGTATCCACGATCTGTCATTTCAGAGCAAGACTTTGATTTCTGCGACCCACGCAACCTCACTGTTGGCTCTGGAGCTTCCCCAAACCCTCCTGCAATCAAGACATCCGCTTGTATCGAATTCCCTTCATTGCCCACTCTGTGCGCAGGCGACGACGAAGAACACAGGTACATGCTAGCGGGTGAGACATTTAGCAAGGCTGCCGAGATTCACGCGAGAACATTCAATTTCTCCACGTCAACCTCTCAACACGGGCTGCCAACCTTCGACCAATTCTCTGATCTCGACTCCGAGGAGGATTTCGTCAACGGCCTCGTCAACTTTCCCTCAACCGACAACGTCCAGTTCTTCGGCACCAAGAGGCAACGCACCTGTTCTGGCTCAGACCTTGTCTCCCTTGACCACGAGCCTTTCATCAGCGAGGACGACTTCGAAGACTTCGAGGATTTCGAGGTATCCGAGCAATTCGCTGCCGCTTGCCTCCCAAGCCCACCTGCATCGGGCTCAGAGACTGAGGTCAAGAAGGAGAAGCGTAACAAGAAGTCCAAGAAGGCCCACTGCGACGAGGACAGCTCCGAGTTTGACAACCTTGTTAGATCTCGAAAGTACACCGTGCCAATGAACGCCGCCAGCGGAGCTCCAGCTGAGGAGACTGCCACCGAGCAACAATCCACCGCCGCGAGCCAATCTGGTTCATCCGAGACTAATGGTGCTAATAACACCGGTACTGGATCTGATGCCGGCAACACACCCAAGCAGCCATCTGTCAACCGCCGTGGCCGAAAGCAATCTCTTACCGAAGACCCCTCGAAGACCTTTGTTTGTGAGATCTGCAACCGCCGCTTCAGACGCCAGGAACACTTGAAGAGGCACTACCGCTCCCTCCACACTGGTGACAAGCCATTCGAATGCCATGAATGCGGCAAGAAGTTCTCCCGCAGTGACAACCTGTCCCAACACGCTCGCACTCACGGTAGTGGTGCAATCGTTATGGGTGTTCTTGAGGATGGTGAGCTACCTAGCGACCACCCGGAATCAGCCAGCGAAGGCGAGCAAGTCAATACGATGGGCAACATCCTCTTCCGGGTTGCAGCTGGTATCTCTGGCAGCGATACCGATCCGTCATCGGACGGCAGCACTGACAACGACAGCCAAGGTCGTAAGAAGCGCAAGCGTTCTGAATAAAGGCTTTTTGTTCAGAGGTTTTGAGAGTTCACGCCAGACACGAATCTCACGACTACGGATACACTTCATAATCGGCCCACGCTACCTTTTACGCGATCGGTCACTAGGGATACTGGGGTCTCGCGACCACCTTGATGTTGTCATGAGGATGGGGGTTTTGCAAACCAAAAAGTCATTTGCGTTGCTTTTCTGATACAATTTCTCTTCTATGTATTAAATTTCCTTTCAAGAATTTCGTGCCAAATTAGCGTGATGACGGGAATTGGTGGGACAGGACAGGAGGAAGCGTGTACTCTGATAAGAGAGACGATTTTGGTTGCTTATTTTCTTTACATTCGCTGTATCAACACTGCGACGGAAGCGGGCTCACCGTCATGCACCGTCTTCTGTCTTCTGCATTGCAATTCTTCGCAGCCGGCTCTCCAGATTGTGCTGGTCACGAAATGTTACCAGTAGGGCCTGCTCTGTATAGAATCCTCTTCATATCAACCAGATTTACCCCTCGCAGTCTCCCCTGAACGATGTGAAAGTTTGACCATGACATGATCATAAAACAATATAGTACAAAGGTAAGTGGCCGAAGGCTAATGTGTACATGAGGTAACAGACACAGACCCATTGAGCCTAAGTACGATTTTGAAATTCGAAAGTTCTTGTGTTGTTGGCTCGTTTGTGGCACCTCTATTGTTCCGTCGAAATTCACTAAAAATTTTGGCCAAGTCCCCGCGAGCCTGAGGCTGACCATCATCCACCAAAAAATAAATAAAAAATAGCTCCAATACTCTCCAGTGGAAGGCGGGAAACTCAGCAAGCCATAATTCCGGGGAACAGGGTCGTTGAATGCCCACCCGCCAATAAAGCCGTGTGAACAAATGCCGTCCCAAGTTGGTCACGATCCGCCAAAGTCTAAATACAATACTGCATCTCAGCTCGGCAAGCCTTCTGCCGTCTGCAAGCTGCGCGGCTCGCGACTGCACCTGCATCTCCACTGCCGCTGTGACAACACAAGACAAGGCCCACCACTGACGGGATGACCGAGTCGCTCCAAGTTATCGCGCTCATTTCAGGCGGCAAGGACAGCTTCTTTTCACTTCTGCACTGCATCCGGAATGGGCATCAAGTCGTCGCCCTAGGAAATCTCTACCCAGCTCCTCCAGCTCCCACGCCGCGCCGTCCCGATGCCGCCAATCATGGCGGGGACAGTGAGGATGAGCAAGACCTGAATAGTTTCATGTATCAGACTGTTGGCCATACGGTGATTCCTCTGTATGAGCAGGCTCTGGGCATTCCGTTGTACAGGCAGCAGATTCTTGGTAGTGCGGTGCAGACGGGCACCAGTTACGGGTATGCCGATGTCAATACCGCTAAGGCGAGGAGAGAAGGTGATGTGGGGTCTTTGATGCAGGACTCGGGTGTCGAAGACGAGGAGCAGGATGAGACTGAATCGTTGGTTCCTCTCTTGAAGAGGATCATGGCAGAACACCCCACCGCAAATGCCCTCAGCACCGGTGCTATCCTGTCGACCTACCAGCGCACCCGCGTGGAATCCGTAGCCATTCGTCTGGGTCTGACTCCTCTATCCTACCTTTGGCAATATCCAGTGCTGCCACCAGTGACGCAGATCTCTCTCCTGGAAGACATGCAAGCTATTGGCCTTGATGCCAGGATCGTGAAAGTTGCAAGTGGTGGCCTAGATGAGAGTTTCCTCTGGCAAAATGTAGCGAATCAGCAGGTCATGCGGCGAATCGAAAAATCTATGAAGAGATTTGGAACCAATGGAGATGGGGCTGTGCTTGGTGAGGGAGGGGAGTTTGAGACGTTGGTTGTGGATGGACCAGCGAGTCTGTTTAAGGGTAGGATTGTGGTTGAGGAGAAGGATAGAAAGATCGTGAGAGAGGGTGGTGGATCTGCTTGGTTAAAGATCATGGATGCAAGAGTGGTAATGAAAGAATTAGAAGTGGTTGAGGAATCTCGATGTCGGACTCCTGAATTACTCGAGTCAGGATTCACCCGTATTCTTGCCTCACTTGACGAGGTCAATAAAAGGATTCTCTCACAAGATTCCGGCAGTTCAACCACGAATTCAGAGCCAAAATATGTTCCACATCCACACGTACCTACGCAGGAAGCCAAATCTAATGGTTTGACTCACTGGACAGTTACTGCAAATCAATCAGATAACAAAGCGTCCATTTCATTCCAAGCCAGCAAGGCAGTCGAGGAGATAAGACACCTTCTCCACCAAGCATCACTACAATCAACAGACATCATCTCAACAGTCATCATTCTCCGATCAATGCAAGACTTCGCCTCTATCAACAAAGTAAAATCCCAGGACCTATCCACCCATTTCCAAACACTAACACCCATCAGGTCTATGGTTCTCTCTTCACTAAACCGAACCCACCGGCTCGAGTGACCATCTCGAGCGGAAATATCCTCCCATCATCTCTCTCCATGATAATCCACCTCACCATTCAGAACCACTCGTGTCCACCAATTCTACGCAAAGCACTCCACGTTCAGTCACGCTCCTACTGGGCACCAGCCAACATCGGTCCTTACTCACAAGCAATATCCGTCACTCTTCCCTCTTCAGGCAACTCGCAACCGTCAAGTCTCGTCTCGATAGCAGGCCAGATCCCACTCATCCCACACACGATGAACTTACCTCATCAACAGAATCAAGATTCCGAGGAGAACTTCAACCTCCAAGCCGTTCTCTCCCTCCAACACCTCGTCCGCATCGCCCGCGAGATGCACGTCTCCTGGCTCACCAGCTGTGTAGCCTACCTCCCCACCAGCACAAACTCTCTCGTCTCTCAAAGATCCCGCATTCTAAGTGAAGCATGGTCACTTCTACACCAAGCACCCACTGATCACGAAGATGATAACGAAGACGAAGAGGCAGATGATCAACCTCGCGATCTCTGGGAAGAGAAGCATTACGCTGGAATGGAAGTCCGTGGCGCCGCCAAAGACGAGAGGGCGTATCCTGCATGGGATAACGTGGATATGAGTTCATGTGCGGGAAAGGATGTTTGTCCGCCGTTCTGGACTGCTGAGGTGGAAGAGCTGCCACGGGGGAGTATGGTTGAGTGGGCTGCCGGGGTGGGTGTTGTGGGTGGAAAGGTTGAGGTATGTTCTATTTCTTTGCCCCTTTCAATCTTATGGACTCGGTAAATTTCGAAATGATATGATCGCTAACGTATTTGCGTTTTTAAACAGCTGCTTCGTTCGAGAGGTGAAGAAGGCTACACCATCCACCAAACACATCTCCCCACGTCGACCATCTCATTCATCTCCCTCTCCCACAACTCCTCCCTTTCCTCCCTGGCCACCACATTAGAAGTAGCTCTCTCGTCCCTGGGCGCAGAAAAAGGGTCGCAAAAGGCAAGCTCCGCAGCTTGGGTAGATGTTTCTATCCCGGGTTTGTGGGAGCAAGGGGACTTCGGAGGTGCCGTGCCGTGCAGAAGTATTTGGGACAGAGAGGGGAGGAGGGTGGCGGCTGTGATGGTTTTTGGAGGCTTTAGATAGGTGATATAAGTTGGATGAATTGAGACGGCAATTGAGCTCGGTATTTTTCTGGTCTGCCTAGGGAGGGCTTAACCGAGCTGATGTTTACATTGTCCGGCAGCCTGATGTGAAGCAGGTGATAATTCGCGCAAATGCATCTGACGAAACGAATAAATCCGGCGATAGCTCCACTCCTTCTAATCTACTACATTTCCTTTTCCCTCTAAAATGTTGATTCACTACTAGGTACCGAAAAGTCAGAGACGAGGCGAAGAATTAATATCAGCAAATTCCACTCGCAGCCGTGTCCTGTATTTAAACATAGGATGCCATAAAGACTGGAAGAAGGTCCGATCCATTCTTAGATGTTCTTTATAGAACTTGCCAAGTGGATAAAATTATAAAGACAAGGGCGTATAGTCGATATAGAGCGATGAGGTCATCAAAAGCGCAGAGGAGAGAGGAGGAGGGAGCTTGGACGATCTATAGAATATTGAAACAATGGCTTCATGCTAGCCTTGTAAACAGATTTTGAGCTTCGGAGCTGTTCAAAATCTGGAGGGGTAATAAGGGATGACGAGGAGTTGTAAGTAGCTCTTGCAAAAGATATGTAAGTTTATAAAGACCACTCCATAATCGTTACCACTGAGTACTACCGTTCTAGTACTTCAGATGTGTTACTTAGATTGTGCACTGAGTCTTCTAGTAGTCATTACCTTCTTCCTTACTCAATATGTAAAGCAAGAAAAAAAATCCTCGCCTAACAATGGGGGCAATTGAGCCACCCGAGTAAAAAGGATTCCAGAGTTCATCACAGAAGAAACGGAAGTTGGATCTGGAGCAGATAGGTCATTAGCATCTGAATAATAGACGATGTTTTAGGGAGAACAAGTATCGGTGGGGTATTTAACTATTCTGGGGTGTCGAGGAGGAACTGTGGGGAGAGTAGGTGGCGCTTTGTTGATCTAATGGAAGAAAATTAGCAGGCTCAAGAGAATGGCTCCTAGTCTGGAACTATAAACTGGCTACTGTCCGAGTGTTTCTGAATGGTTTCTCAGTTTCTAGTATGGGCTTTGAAAAAGCCTGGTACTCATCCTGAATACAGTATTCGCTAGTAAGAATAGCACAGTTCAGGCTTGAGGATAACTTAATAAGAAATGACCTTCACTATACATATTTAAAGGTTAACTAGAGAATTTTAGATACATTTTGAGAAATAAAAGCTAATGATGTCAAAACAAGTAGTGACACCCGAGGCCACGAATTCAGGAAAGAGGTAAGCATTAACACTCATGAGGGAGATAGCTGCTGCTTGAAGTAAATACATTGGTCTATATTGCTTTTGAAATAAATCCAGGTATACCTAGCTAGTTGATAGCAGGAGTGATTATAACCTGCCAACTGGAGGCAAAGCCAGATGTGATAAAATCAATTAGTAACTTGTTCTTCCTTAATATCATATGTCTAATTATAGTGTCGAATATGACTGCGCCCCTTGTGCTTACTGACCGCTGGATGCTATATGCGAAACTGTTCCCTTTCTCTATCGTCCCATGAATACACAAGCAGGCCTCCCTGTCAAGATATCCCAGCGCTCAAAACCCTCCATCTAACGGCTCGACGTTCAATTGTGCTACTGGTCCTAGTTTACTGAGCAACGTTTGTATTCCAGCTAGAACTATGCGTAATTTATCTCGTCCGGCTGTGACCTGTAATTTTTCTTTTGCAGCTTCGGAAGCTCGTTCCTCGACTGCCTCCCTGAGCTTCTTTTCGTTCTCGAGTAGTTTTTGCAGATCTCTGATGGAGTTATCCTTCATTTGAATGGATTCTTCTTGTACTAATAGGGGTATTGTTAGTACGGACACAGATATACACAAGTAGAAGTAGAAAACCTTACTATTGAACATCTCATTAAGTCCTTGGATATCTTGGGTATTTTCCTCCAGGAGTTTTTCCATATTCTGGCTGTTTGTCCTGAGAGCCGCACAACTCTCTTCTGTGTGAAAGAAGAGTTCTCCTCCTTTGGTATCCTGGCCAACAAGTTTCCGTCTTTTGACACTATCTCCATTCTCTCTAGGTTTTAGAGGGTGTTTCGAAGGACTTTCGACAGCGAGTTGAGCTGGCTGAGAGAGAAGCGTTGGGTTTCGAGTGATATCAGACTGTTTTGGTTGAGGAGTGGCATGTATTGGAGCCAGCTGAGATTGTTTTGATTGTGGATTGGATGCTAGGTTTGGAGGAGCTTGTAATTGACCCGCCTGGACCGTCGGTACTGGATCTGTAGTAGCTCGCGTAGTTCTTCGCTGAATTTCGGCCCGGAGTCTTCCTAAGTCTTGGTTATCATCGAAAGGATACGTGTCTTTGATCTTTTTCCACAGGTCATCTTTCAACTGATAGACGCCATGTCCGACCGCAATGCCAATCTTTCGCAAGGCAGCAGAGATATTCCTTTGCCGACTCGCAAACTCTTCATCATGAGAGTCTAATGCTCCCGGCCTTTCAATCGGAATCATCAACTGCGCCTTTGTCGCTCGTGTTTTACACGCTAGCCTATGCATACAAATTTCCTTTGTGCCTCTTTTGGGCACGGGCTGGAGAATTTGTGCGGGTTGTGGAGTTGCTGTGACTCGATGCGGTCTGTCACCTACGGGGCATTCTGAAGCCATGTTCTGCGGGAGGTTAGTATGAAAACCTGTCGAAGTACATATGATATAAAGCTGCAGTGTAAAGTTAATCAGATATTTGGAAAAAGTTAGAGGGTGGTTTGCTAGGAAAAGGTGAACACATCGAATAAAACTAATCACAAAAGTGAGAAGTTTCCAAGGCCCCCTGCTGTCTGGACAATAAATAAGCTCTGAGACTAGAAACAAATAAGAGAAATATAAGCAGACGAAATTCCTACCTTGTCTTTATCCAAGTAGGTCTGAATCTGGAAATTGAATAGCTGTTTGAGATATTGAGCCGCGAGGTGAGATCTTCAGGGTGACTGTATTATTAGCAAAGTACCAAAACTGATAGGAAACATGCAAAACATACTCTCTGCAGAGGGCATCCAATAGATGTCCCCATAAAGTGCTTGGTTTGTGAAGAAGACGAAGGTAGGCATGTTGTCTCTGAAGTCTGTTAGTGAAAGGGATAAGGGACGTCAGCGCAGGGTGAGATAGTAGTTACGTGGCCAAGAGATGAGATGGAGAAAAAGTACTCACCTCGTCGCGATTGTAGAAAGTATCTGGCCGATGTGTCTCGGAGTCCTGATCGAGGTCACCTCCTTTCTACCGCAGAGAGTCATGTCGAGGTCTAGCTTGGGGTCGGTTGATTTCGTTTATAGATGTTCGGTAGCTATGGTAGCTTAGTAGACGATAAATGTCGGAAAGAATTCTTTTGAGAGTGAAGGCTGTAGTTTTGTGAACATATTTATGTGCTGAAGGTTGAAGGATGTGGAAGAATACCTAGGTAGTGAGAGCTATATAAATAGCCGAGGGGAGGAGGCTCCGCCTTGTACTCCTGCCTCTATTCACTCCTGCCTCAATCGCTTCCACAGCCACGACTGCAGGTATGAATTCAATACACAACTTCCTAGTGAATCTCAAAGAAGCAGGCTGAAGATTACAATTACCTGCCGTGTGGGACCGCCTATAACCTGGTAAGAAGTACTCATCAAAAAGGTCTAATAAGGGTAGTCACTACTCAGTAATACTTCGATCTAGAGTTTTAATTATCAAGGTATGATTTTGCTTTAACACAGTGAATAGATTGCAGGTAATATTAGTAAATAGAATAGGTCTTACTCGGGATGCCTTGTCAGGTATATGTAGAGCGGGAATAAACATTTGTAAAACCTGAAGTCGGACATCTGAATTGCTTTGTGATTGCCACAGGGAACAGTTGGCAACAATAACAAGAGTACGAAAAGACTGTCTCACTAAGAGATAATGACAATTAGAAATCAAGTCCACGTACGCAGTAGTAAAGTACTCATACGAATGTAGTACTATTTGTTGTGGTCACAGAAGACACGAGATGGCTAAGCGAGATCTCAGATCAAATAGTTCAGATCTGAAATCACATTGTGACTATCTACCACCCCGAACCAGCACCCTTACCTCCAAAAGAAGTATCCTCTATCTTCTTCTGCCCACCTCCGCCCCTCGTAGACTTCTGTTGTGCTGCCTCGTGTTTCCGTAACTCTTCCGGCACACGTGATATCGAACTTTTCGAGAGCATTTGCTTCAAGTCGTACATGACGTCCGCATCTTCATTACCAAGGAACGTAATAGCCACACCGGACTGTCCCGCTCTGCCTGTACGACCGACACGATGCGTATAGCTCTCAATGTTGGTGGCCATATTGAAGTTGACGACCAGACTGACATCCGGGACATCGATACCTCTACCGGCAAGATCTGTCGCAACCAACACATTCGTTGCACCGGAACGAATAGATGCCAAAGCAGCCTCGCGCTGCTCTTGTGTCTTGCTACCATGCAATGTGACTGACGAGAAACCCATGTGTTTGATGTCGCGGGCGACTGCATCGCAGTTTCTCTTGATGTTGACGAAGACAATGATAGGGGGCTGGAATTCTCCAGAAGCGAGAATTTCGTTGAGGCGCTTCTTCCTCTTGTCTTCACCGGACACAAATTCAACACGTTGCTCGACGGTTTCGACGGCTTCTCCAATATTGCCGATTGTGACGATGGCAGGTCTACGCAAGTACTTCTTGGCGATTTTTTCGACAGCAGACGGCATAGTAGCCGTGTACATCATAGTTTGCCTGTATCTGTCTTTTCCTCCTAGATGTCTGCTCATGGCTTGAGCATCTTCTGCATCGTCGGTGTCGGGCTTCTCGTTGGTTACAGGAAGTGCATCGAGGATCTTGTTCACGGACTCTTCGAAACCGAGATCAATCATACGATCAGCTTCATCCATAATTATGTAGCAGCATTGGCCGAGCACCAAAACCCGCCTCTCAATACAATCAACCAATCGACCTGGAGTGGCAATAACAATTTCCGCACCGTTTCGTAGATTATACGATTGCTCCTCGAGCGAATGTCCACCAACAATACTGACGCAAGTAAAGCCTAGCGGAGTTGCAAACTTCTTTGCTTCAGTTTCAATCTGTTGTGCCAATTCACGTGTCGGCGCAAGAATAATAGCGTACGGGCCATCGTTCTTGGTCATTTCGTTCAAGGGGGGGAGCTCTGAGATGTATACTAGCAACGGAAGCAAGAATGCAGCAGTCTTTCCGGAACCAGTAACTGCGACACCAATCAAATCTCTAGCCTGCAGAGCAATGGGTATAGCGGCTCGCTGGACTGCTGATGGTTGATCGTATCCAACTTGAGCAACGACATCCAGAAGGCGTTTTGGAAGATTGGACTCTTCCCAACTTCGCATCGGATTGGGAATGCTGCCACCCTTCGTACTGATGTTGAAATCTTCTTTGAAGATACGCCAGTCTCGTTCGCGCATATGTTCGAGCTTCTTCTCGCTCCAATGCTTATCCAGTGAATTTCGTCCTCCAGCATCTTCCTTTCTCCGCCTCTCCATCTCTAAGATCTCCCTTGCACGAGCGCTTCCTGCCTCGCCATCTCGTTCCTCCAGTGCTTTGGCATATTTAATCACACCACTTTCACTTATATCCTCCGCAAATCCTCCTAGGCGTCCGCGACCGAAGAAATTTGTCTCTGCGCGCTGTGAATATATGGGATTGTAGTCGGGGCTGGTATCCTCCTCAGCGTTCCATTCAAAATTGAACTTCTTCTCTGTAGTCCGCCGCCTTTTCTTCTTGGCAGAGAATGTTGACTGATTGGTTTCTGCGCCCATATATCGTGTCCGAGTAAGAGCAGCTTGGGTGTCTTCGCCATTTGCAGGCCGTTTCTCTCCAGCCAGATGCACCTTCCCAACAACAGGAGCAGCTTTTGTAGGTGCAGAATTCGTGGTGTTTTTCTCGTAAGCTGATCGACTTTCACCAGCTCTATCTGCGCGATTGGTTCTTCCAGCAGCTGGACCTGAGGGAGTATCCCCATTGCGCATTGCCCGAGGCCCTGTTGGCACAGAGGATGTGTCGCGGCCATTTGTTGGCCTGTCTAATGAGTCCCGTGAACTCTGGGAAGTGTAGCCGTTTCCCTCGAATGGTCGGCCATTTGCTTCAGCCTCCTTCTTGCGTTTCTGCTCTTCGACTTCCTTGGCTCTTTTCTCAAGAGCAAGTTTCTCCCTTGCAGCTTTGGATAAGAATTTCGGCTATGAAACCAAATAGTCAGTAAATGATGCGCAGGGAACTAGACTAGCATTGTGAACATCACTATTTGGAAGCAATTTTCGGGATTGACAACTTACCTTTGCTGCCGCCTCATCAGCTTCTTTCTTTTTCTTCAGGATATCTTCGATGCTGAGTGGTCCTCGATCCCGCGCGGCTCCCCACCCAGCTTTCTTTTTCTTCGGCGGCTCTTCAGGAGGCGGGGGTAAAGCTTCTGAAGGGGGTGGAGGAGGTAAGTCGCTCGGTGGTGGTGGTGCACTTGAAGACGGAGGAGGTGGAGGAGCCATCGAGTCTGGAGGAGGTGGTGGAGGTGATGGTAGCCTTCCGTTCATGTTGACTGTGACTGGAGGTGGCGGTATCGCAGTGTCGCCATTAATGTAGCCCGACATCCTTTACAGGCCACTGCGTTAATTGCTTATGGGTATAAGTAAAATGACTGAACCGGGTTCGAGTTGGTGTGGGTGCAAGGCTGTTTATTGTTAAAGGTTATAAAGTTGCAGTTGAGGGAAAACGAGACGAGGCTGAAGGCAAAGGCTCGAACATTAGTCAGCCAAATTTATCTTCAAACCACGACGAACAATCCGACAGGCAACTCAAGCTCCATCGAAGAGCGCCACCAAGCCATATTCATCATGGCGACAAATCCCAATCAGTATATCAAGCTCGCGCAGCAATTGCCCCCCCGACTTACAAGATTTTTCGCCCGATACCCACCACAAGCCATCGTCTCCTCATCAGCCCTTTCCCAAGCCTCATCTCCAAGCACCCCCGCCGCGCAATCAACTGCCTCATCTGCGGACCTGATACCTACAGGTCAAGATGGATTGACAGTACCCTCACCATTCAGAAGTCAGAAGCATCCAATCACGGGCAAATGGCATGATCCCGTATTCTCGTTAAGGAGGCAAGCAGATCTGGTCAAGCTCGCGCAACAGTATGGGGTCGAGGAATTAATGCCATTCTCGGTGAAGAGCACGGCGGAGAGACTGCGAAGGAGGGAGGAGAATGGACTGAGAGTCAAGGGAACTGGTATTGGACAACGCGTGAAGGGCAAGGAGTCGGAACGAACAATGAAGGGCCGGTACGTAGTGGATGAATATTTCTGCTTTGTGGATTCAGAGGTGATATTACTATCATAAGATCGCGGGCTGATGTCGTTATGAAACAGTTTGGAGAAGCGCAGACAGGCTATGTTGGAGATGCCGCAGATGATCCAGACATGGAAGGAAGTAAGTTTTCTTTCCTACTGTATAGTTTCTCCAGTTACTAACCACCGACGCAGAGAGGTCATGGCCGTGGATGGAAGAAGTGGCCGAAATAGATGCATTGCATTACTTCATAGGCGGAAGCATCAGACTCGGGACTGTACCAAAAGCATACCTTATGTGCGAGGCATGGGAGACGGCGTTACAGAATTGTACTATATCGTTGTACACCAATCCAGAAACTTCTACTACACAACAAAAATTCTGGAGAAACAAACACTTGATACCAATCTTGCGTTTCTACTTTGGCTACTGATCGCTAGCATAGACTCCGGTAGACTATTGGACCGTTCACACCAATCTCTCATGAATACTTCAGGATTTCCAGGTAAACACAGGAGCGTCTTTCATCTACCATATATTTTGCATGTGGTTCACGAGGGACGGGAGAAGAATATGTTCAAGTCATATAGTGCTTTGAACACAACCGTGAGACTAATAGCGGAATCGTGCTTCGGTTGGTTCGAAATCATCCGAATTGTGCAGAGAACATTCCTTTCAAGAACGAACTCTCGCTTTGCGAGGACACCGTTAATCATAAGGTCTTTGCTTCAGATCTTACCAGATTGAGTTGGCCTTGTCTGCATGTTGTTGCAAAACCTTCGACACTCATGCAAGTTGAGGGGCGGCTCGATATTTCAGACAGCTTGTTACTTTCGTCACACGGCTCAGATATCAGCTGGTTATTGGAGGTGGCAAATAAGGAAAGTTCAGAGGCTAGGGGATCCACGGCAACTGTACAGAAAGAGGCTCTAAAGACTACTCGTACAGCAGAAAATACCAACTTCTCTAGCATGTGAAACTCACATGAGAATTGTTTAGAGGTTCTTAACTAGTTGAGACGAGTCATTAAGGTCACTCATATTCTGTACAAGGAATATGTCTGGTGAAACAACCAGGTATCCAGCATTTCACTTTACGACCATCAGAACAATCGTTAAAACATAATTCTGATGCGAGCCAACAACCTCGACAACACCGTTCGAGCTCGTCCTGTGTTTCCTCATGTGATAAGCAAGTAGTGTCGTTAAAATATGGACGTGCCACCAACCCCACACCTGGCATTTTCATCCTCAGGCAGAGGACCCTTCCTTCCTCGCCTTCCCCAACCAATGTTCCAAGCTGCCCAACAAAAGCTAAGCGAGAGCCTTGATATCCCTGTCGATAGATTTACACGGGCTGTGATTCGTCGAGCTGGACGTCACATCTCGAAGCAAAACATGAACTTTCGCTGTTTTCATGCAATTTGATAGGGCACATCTCCTGGTCCCCTATTTTGTTCCTGACGGATCAACCGAGTTGGGACGATGGTGTGCTGGAGCTTGACACCGCCCTGCCCTGCCCTGGATCCCGTCCCGCAACTGCATTTGCATGTGAATTGCACACACGTCTCGGTATAGACCACGATCTGTGGTTTGAGCAAGGACTATCATGCCGGCGACCTCTTTTGCTGCTTATGAGATTTCAGCTACGATCAGCTCAGGAGACAGGTCATCATGCAAATTGGTGGGGTGAGGAATGTAGAAAGTCTCTCTCTCAACAACGAGGTGCATCCTCTCTCTCTGGAGATCTGAAAGAGTTTGGGCGGTGAGAAGAGTATGTGGAGAAGACCAAGGCTGAGTTTACCATGTCCCCCACCTCGATTTAACCTGAAAAGGTGCTGGTTTGAAAAGATTTGGGATTCTCCACGAATGGTAGTTGTGCAGGAACGCTGTTCCACGATAATCAGTACTAGCGAGGCCAGGCTTGCCGCTGTCAATCCTCTGTTGCAAGCCCTAAACTAGTGGTGGCGAAAATAGGGAGAATACGGAAGTGAATAAACACAAGAAGCATTGCTGCGACAGAATTGAGGTTGTAAGTGGTGAAGCTATCACTAGCTGGTACTTGTGTCCAGCAAGAGGCTGGCGGATGTGTAACAGTAACGAGTAAGTAACTGGCGAGGTTTCTGGGCAGCGAAAACAACAACAGACTGGATTGGCAGAGGCAATGCAGCGGTGGGACATCGACGCCGAGCATACTTGGTTAGGTACTGTGCTGGTCACAGAAAGAGAAAATGATATGCGCCGACAAGCTGCACAACTTTGAAGCCACATGCAATCAGTGCTTTCCATCTGCCCGCGTGCTCACTACTCGTCACCAAGGCTCAGGCTCTGGCTCTTCGAATAGCAGATCAGAACCATATCAGATGACGAGATGCTGCCCTTCTGTGGCTGCATTGGAATCGCATATATTACTTAGCCAACAAATGTCAAAATAAAGTGCTGATCTAGAAAACCAGGCTTGTGCAGCTGCGAAGGTGTAGATTTATATCCCTAGCCTGTTGGCTTGTTTGATAACCCATACTACCTTCCTTACCTTTACGTGCCTTACCCGGGCGACGAGTGAGAGGCGACTTTACTAGCGCTAAATGCAGATTTTCTGCCGAAACAGGCCCCCAGACCCTGCCCAACCCTGGAAGGAGCCAACGAGGGCCGCGGTGCAGGTTCAGGTGCAGGTGCATTGAGAAATTTGGCGGGACGACTCTCAAATAAAACCCACCGCCAACCCGCTCTCCAAGTCATTTCTTGATCTTGCTCCTCCACACCTGTTCTTCCCGACTTCAACTGGTCCGTATCTGCTTCTTTTCTACGCAGGTGCATCACAGGTGAGTTTACTGTGCCCGGCATTTGCACAATTGATTCGCAAGAAACTGACACGTCGTGCAGTGGTCTCGTCCCACAGAAACTCGACCGGTCCCAAACTCCCCAGTCATTGGCCCCTCAACAATTTGATTTCGGCCACCAACTCTCATTGCGAGATTCAATATACTTCAGCCGACCATCTGAAAGCCCAGCTACTTAATTGTTTTCTTCAATTGCACCTACAAAAGTCTACGACAGCACAAATTTCACACCATGGCCTCTACCGCGGTTCCCAAGCAGCACAACCTCCTTAAAAGGACAGTTACTTCCACCACGAACGATTCCTCGCCTTCTACCGCTAGAGGCTCCCCCAATGATACCCCAAGGCAATCTCCCTCCTCCACATCTCTCTCGTCTATGTCATCTCTGGACGATGTGAAGGACAATGGCTTCGGAAACCTCATTGATACGTATGGCAACAAGTTCGAGGTCCCAGATTATACTGTCAACGACATTCGAAATGCCATTCCCAAGCACTGCTTCGAAAGATCTGGACTGAGAGGATTGGGATATGTTGCTAGGGATATTGTCAGTCTGGCAACTACCTTCTACTTGTTCAACAAGTTCGTCACTCCGGAGTACATTCCAAGTACCCCGGCCCGAGCTGCTTTGTGGTTCGTATATACTATTGTCCAAGGTCTTTTCGGCACAGGTCTGTGGGTTCTTGCACACGAGTGCGGTCACCAGTCTTTCTCTACCTCCAAGGTTCTCAACGACACCACTGGATGGATCTGTCACTCCGCGCTTCTCGTTCCTTATTTCTCGTGGAAGATCTCCCACGGCAAGCACCACAAGGCTACTGGAAACATGGAGCGTGATATGGTCTTTGTCCCTAAGACCAGGGATGATTACGCCAGCCGCATCGGAAAGCTTGTTCACGAAATCGATGAGTTGACTGAGGAAACTCCAATCGCTACTCTGATTCACTCCATTGGACAACAACTTCTTGGCTGGCCCCTGTACCTGTTCGCCAACGTGACTGGCCACAACAACCATGAGAAGCAGCCCGAGGGCCGTGGAAAGGGAAAGTCAAATGGCTGGTTCAATGGTGTTAACCATTTCAACCCAAGCAGCCCACTTTACGAGGCTAAGGATGCCAAGCTCATTCTGTTGAGTGATCTTGGAATCGCCATCACTGCCACCGTCCTCGTCATGCTTTCCAAGACCTACGGTTTCTCCAACATGGCTGTCTGGTACTTTGCCCCATACCTCTGGGTGAACCACTGGCTCGGTGCGTATATCAAACAATTCTGGTTTAATGTTTGTACTAAATTGCTCTAGTTGCCATTACCTACCTCCAACACACCGACCCAACTCTTCCCCATTACTCTGGCGAGAGCTGGAACTACGTTCGTGGTGCGGCAGCAACTATCGACCGTGAATTCGGTTTCGTCGGCCGCACTCTTCTCCACGGGATCGTCGAGACCCATGTCCTCCACCACTACGTCAGCACCATTCCATTCTACCACGCCGACGAGGCAACCGATGCCATCAAGGTGGTCATGGGTAAACACTATCGCTCAGATGTCCGAGGAGGTTCTCTCGGATTCTTGAAGTCGATGTGGACTAGTGCTCGCTGGTGCCAATGGGTCGAGCCATCAGAGGGAGCAACTGGACAAGGAAAGAACATTTTGTTCTTCCGCAACCGAAATGGTCTCGGCACGGCACCACTCAAGCTCAAGGCATCCCAGTAAATCGGCCATCATCAGATGACTGAGTACATCATGACTGGAAACCGGGCGATGGAGCATGGGGGCGAATTGCATTGTTTGTTCGTTGAAATAGGGAGTCCGCAACGGTGTTATGGCGTCACGGTTTTGTTTTGAGTTAAGGCTCGGATCTGGATTTTATCGAGAAACGGTATCCAGACATCCGACGCAGACAGGATTCGCAGATAGAACTGTGATGATCAATTGTTTGGTTGGTAGAAGGTCGCTTGCTGCTTGCTGCGGAGACAATGATACCATTAGAGTATTTTGTATAGAGACGAAGACCAATTAAAAAACTCATACTTTCTCCCCAAGGCTGTTCTTGCATACACTTTCAATCTATTTGTGGGTTTTTGAGATACCACACTCATCGAAGGTGATTGTGAAAGTGGCGACTTCACATGTGATGTCAGACGAGCGGCTGACATTCCACTCGCTTGAATGTCAACAATGTCATCACGACGTCCGAGGGGCGGATGTCAAAAGTCCGAAGGAAAAATGACGGGTTTGAAGCTAATTGGTCAAATCTTTTTATTTCTCAGTCTCTTTCCAGTAGCACAGCTCGGATTTTGTCTAGCCGTTCTCCTCAGTATCCACACCATACCCCCATTATCGCCCTTCCGTGAGTAGGTGACCGCTAGTACTCAGTGGGAGCGGCAGCACCGCTTCAAGCCCGTGTTCATCCGGCACCTATATTAAATTACAATCTCAGTTTCAATCCGAATAATTTGATTCTGCCGCGTTCCACTTCTACGATGGGAGTTCTCGAATTGTCTAAGTCTTATTCACAAATCGTCTCACAGCTAGTTTCGCCTCGTCGCACCTTCGGAAGCAAAGTAGAGCTTCCCAACTCAGCACAGATTGGACAGAACCAAAGCAATTGATGTATAAACGACAGAAAGTTGCTCATCTTGGCACCCAGATTGAACGTCCCAAACAAGCAAATAAAGTACGAAACGCTGAACCTCCAGATCGCCCACGAAATCCCACTTGACTCTTTTAGACAGTCCCCTCACGACGCAATACCATTCTAATCTCAAGCCGTCTACTTAGCTTTATCCTAGAAAGGGAAGAAGCTAGACAGGGTGAATAAGTGATCCACCGAGGTTCAATTTCCTCTCTGGAGAGCCTGGAAGGAAGCTGTGCCAGAGACGCCATCTACTTTCGTAGAAATCTCAGACGATGGCGTCAGCGAAGCTTTGTATCACTATTTACGCCTGTGGCGAGGTATGGAGCCAGCTTATTTTGCTCCCTTCTCGAGTTTTGGGCTTGTGCTTTAGGATGGGGTGGCAAATATGGAATCAGATGAGATTAGGTAATATTAACCTTGTAAGTAATGTGTGACATTGGGTTCATTCTGGGGAAGAGCTGGGCAGTGAAAGACTAGAAGACGAGGAAGTTGATTGGAGAGATATCTACTTTTTCGACGACACCGATGGGGAAGGGTGCAAATTTACCAGTCGCGGGTTGTTACATCCTGATAATGATCAAAGAAAAGGATGAAGGACGTATATGGGCAGGTGGGCTTCCTTGATCGACCCTACACCAAGCGTGTGAAAACGTGGACATAACAAATATACTCTCTTGAAGGTCAGGCTCGCCCTTGCAATCTTGGTTTACCTCTGCTGTACTCTCCGATTTTCTCACACTCATCCTCCATACTCGAAGACACGGAGCCTGCCAGATTCGATCCATTGTATATGTTCGCCCACCTCTACTTCCAATGTTCCCGTGCAGACATCCCACCTCCATTCCAAGCTGCAAGTTCTCGACAGCACCCCCATATAATAATGTGAAACTTATATACACTCTATGTATGATGATGTAGAACGTATGGAAAGGCGAGGATGGCGATTTTGTGTTCTTGGACCGAGCCTGACTGGTATTTGTGACTGGTATATGTGACTGGCGAGGATGAGGTAGGTGCAAGTTGTCATGCTGAGGATACAGCAGTTGGCTCAAGTGGAATTAAATCAGCATTGTGTACAGAGATGTTACAAAATTCGAAGTGTGGAGAGGAATGCGAAGGAGGCGACTGAGAGGGCTCAGGAAAACTTACCTTTGCACCACCAAACCGAGATTTTGAAGCAAATGTTCTTCTGTTTAGGACTCCCGATATTATTACGCTGGTATTCGTAGATGTCGAAGACAAGAACATAACAGCCTTCCGGAGCTCGTCTGCCTAGCAAATGTCACTCCGCGGTTCTCCATAAATGTACCCGTCGAGGGATTTCAACTCACAAGAGAAGTTGACGTCGAATCGCACTCACAGACATCCACAGCTGAACAAGTGTCTGTTAGAAAACCAAGGAGGTCTTTCCCCCACAGGGAAGCAGAAAGTCAAAATTCGGTCTCCAAAAAGGACAGGATAATCCACCCCGGACCAACTGTCAACAACCCACGATGACCGAACTCTAAATCCGGATTTCCCCAGATGGAGGTGGTGTCGTTAGTACAAACATGTTGTCTGTTCTACAGCCTTATCAACTATGGAAAGTAGGTAGGTAAGTAGTGTCAGTTGCAGCTACAGCAGTCAAGCGCAGACGAATAGTGAGGATGCAGGTGATGGAACTCAGAGCAGGGTAGTAGAGTTTGGAATTCATGAAGGTTGCGGGTAATCTTGTGAAAGAGAAATGACAAGAAAGATTACAAATACTCCACATGGTTGACACTCCAACGATCCCCACAAGCCCTTGGGAGCAAGATAAGGAGAGATCTACCTGACTTTTCCAAATTCTCCGGGCGGAAGTATAAAAAGAAAAATATAAACTCAACGCTTAGACCGAGTTTAGTACTTCAGTAGTCCATGTACAGATATAGATATACTTCAGTGGTGTAACGTAACGTACATCAATGAGCGCACCCAGGAAAATAGTCTCCCTACCTGAACAATGTTGTGTGTGCAAAGGTGCAAGCCCAACAGAAGCACACAGACTCCAGATCGTTCCTTATCTGATGGTATGCATTACTCTGACAGGCTTCACTGGCATGTAGGTCAAGAATCCTGGGGCGAAGCAAAGTTTTGCATCCAAGGGAAGCAGATCTTGTCTGATATGGTCCCGAGGAATCTGCTTCCACTGAGGGATAGTCCTACACAGATCAGGAGGATGGAGCTCTGCTATTCCGCGTAAGGCTTGTTTGGTAGGACGAAGATTGTATGGCAGCTGATACTGTACAAGGACTGTGAGTTGAAGAGGTGCATAGAAGGCAACTCATGCAAGGAGAAATTGCGAATTTTCAGCTCCGTATTCTCCGTCTCGACGGATATTTCCCACTTGCTCGAAAGATGGGAATAGGCCTCGCCAAATACCCAAAGTTTCCTGAACAGGAGAGGCTTTGAGCTATATTTTTCCTTCACAAGACCTTCGGAGTCGCACGATCGAAGGACGCATATGAGACCATGCTCGGAGCGTAGGAACAGACCATACTTTTTGTCGAGCTTCGTAGATGTGGAGGGATGGATCAACCCGGAGAAATGTCGTTTGTGTGGCGGTGAGGGCTGAAAAAGCTTGTAAGAACCCTTGGAGTAAGTGGATTAGATCTGATTGTCGTCTTGGACAAGCGGTGGTCGTGGCTCAAAGCTATACGGAGAAGTGGCAGCAAACAGCCAGGAGTCTGTGCAATGATGCTCGCCAAGCTTTATCACTGCACTTTCAATGGCTGCTGAAGAGTACCATCCTTTGAGAATGAAAAAGTGCATGGTATCATCATTGTCTTCATAGTGAGCCGATATGAATACAATGATAATGAGACTTTCATACCGCACCTCGGTTTGCTTCAACAGTGATGCGTGAATGGTGGTTCACAGTTCGGGGACGATAATCCCGAGCCTGGCAACATACTTCCGATTCGGGAAGCTTGGAGCACCTACTGGCAGTGCGAAATGGCGCTTAGATAAAGCTCACATCCGCTTGAAATCATGAAGCTACTGTGTTCATAATTTAGCAGCCCAAAATTAAGAGGGCAGTTGAAAGAAATCAAATACGAGGCAGGGGCAGCAAAGACAGAACGCCTTCAAACCTAGAACAATTCTCTTGCGAACAAAACTCCTAGGTACCAAGGCACCAGGTTGCAAATACGAAAAGCCTCTTATGTGATGAAAAGAGCAGGCGCAGTAGTAGCATATGCATCGCAAACGATTTCGTTCGTGACGCCGGCTTTTTTTCTTTTTTTTTTTTTTTTCCAACGAGCAACCCAGCGTGTAAGCCAGGAGTACATTGCAGCGGAGCCATCTCCTCACCACAACTAAAAACGTGCGACAAGATTGATGATATCTTATCTATGCCAGTCCAGGAAAATCTTTCCTGCTTGTTGAACTTTAATCGATCCGATAGAGCAACATAGGGTTAGGATTTGAGCGGCAGAAAGTTGGGCTGGTCGAGAACTTCAACCGACAGAGATGGTACGATGTATGGTTCACACTTCGCAAGTTCGAAGGTAGATTTGCAGGAGAAGTCTCCGCTCTCCCAATGCCAGTGTCGAACTATAAAACGACCCACTGTCAAAGCTCAGTTCTGAGAATGCACTGGGCTCAGAGCTAGGGAGACGGTACATAGTAAATACTGTAAGTACCTACGACCCATGGTATTTGAAGCTTATGCCAGAGTAACGGAACTTGCCCCCCATCGCTGTCCCAACCCAATACAATAAGGTTCGAGTAGTTCTTGATTGGTGCTCGCATGGGGGTTGAAGAACCGGAGACGATCTCCAAGGACTAGAAAGTAGCTTTCTTAGTTTCGACCTAGGATCTCACGCTAGGATCTCAACCTGGTTTGAGGTTTTGTGACGTTTGTCACTTCACGATGGGATTGGCTCCTCTAGGGCAGACACCATGGAACTCCACTTCCCCTCAATAGTGGCGGAACATTAGTTCTGGGAGAAATTCCACGTTGATGCCCATCTAGTAGCAGTGGCCAGGACTGGCCAGAAAGGACCGAATGGCGCCGACGAGGCAAGAGACGAGGACCCTTGGTGGCCCGTTCTCTTAGGGGAAAGTAAATTATGTTCCTTTCTTTAGCCCTCATCCGCTACCCAAACCCCGCGTTTTGCGAATTCTTACTCTCCCCCCCCCTTAAACAAACGTTAAACCTTATGAAAACTAGGCGTCGTGTGGGTAGTCAGCTAGGGTGTTAATCCAATGATTGTGCTGATTTATAGCCTTAAGCAGGGCTTCAAGTGTATCTCGAACCTTCTAAAGCTACCCTTGTCTTTATAATTAACTAGAATCTGCTTATGCTTTAAGCCTTCTCAGGGGAGGTAACCGCTTAGAAAAGGCCGACCAGGACTTCAGCCCACAAAAGTCCACGTTTAA